TACAAAAACACAAAATTATTATACAATTTACATAACATAACATACATAACATCACGCCTTTTTATCCCCGAAGGGGTAGGCAGAGGTGCACATTTCGGCACTCAATGCACTGTACAATGTAACACCCACTTTTCACTATTTATGTTATAAGTCCCATGTAATAGGGGGTGAGCCTATTGCCATATACCGGGCACATTTCCAGACTACTCTACTACTACTGAGATTTTTTTAAAACCCAGTAATAATTTGCCCGACCCGGATATCGAACCGAGGACCCCCTTGCCGGCAGTCGCACTTATTATTATAATGTCGAAAAATATAGTGCTTAAAAATAAGTCTCAGTCTGCCTCTCAGTCAGTCTCAGTTTTTTAGTACTTTTTTTGCTAGTTGCTAATAATGCCTGACTTAGTCGTTTCCTATATCTAGTTATATTACAGTCATTTTTACTAAACAACTACAGATTTTTCCTATCCTCAAATATAATATTTTTATAACATTATAATGAAACAAAGTAATATTATTATTATAAATACAAATGAAATTGAAACAGGCAAAATAATGTGGGAAATCCCAATTCAGACAGACTTCACAGTTGCCCACAACAGACCGGACATAATATACACAAACAAAACATCCAACACCACATACCTCTTTGACATAACTGTACCATGTAACTACAACATAGGAGCAAAAGAAATTCAGTAAATACCACTTTTTAAAGACACAACTCAAGGCTAGACGCCTTGAAATATTGAAACGCATGTTAATTCTATAGTAATTGGAGCCACAGGAGTAGGTACTAGCCAAAAGCCTCAGCAGATACACAGACAAACTAGAAACATAAATAGACATTAGCCACCATTCACACAATAATTATTGTAATAATAATATAATAATTATAATATAATAAAATAATATAATTGTAACAATAATTAATTACAGAATGATTATAATCATTCTTAGCAAAGTACTAGGAGACACAGTTTTCGTCACATACATTCGAGATTCCGATCAATTACAACCATCTCAAGCGCAAACACCACATACCACTCAGTCAACCATCACATGAAGCTCACAATTCACATCTGGCACACAAACTACACCCAGTTAGTAGCCAAGTAGTCAGCAGAAGAGAAAGAAGGAGATCTATAAGTCAAATTTAGAAGGGGCTATGAGCATCGTTTTTCCTGCGGGTTGTGGGAAGCGGTGCCCATTTTCACCAGGTCAAGCCCAAGAAGGAGAGACCTCTACATATATGAATACAAATAAGTAAAACCTAGAATAATGCTGCCAGTCTTTTGGGCATCCTACTCCACGATAGCGATGAAAAAGAATTTTTTGATGCCCTAAGGTAACATTTTTTTTAAGGTGTGAATATGTACCTATTTTAGTTTATTTATAATTTAATATTACTTTGTTGTGCGTAGGTACTTAAAATGTTGTTCTAATTATGATATATACATTAATACAAAGATAAAAATAGTTTTACAAAAATAATACGGCTTTAATATTTGCAGCGATCTATGGGTTTCTTGAGACAACAATGTACGTCTGAATGTTAGAATAAATTCCAAATAGTACCTGAAAAAACAACAAAGATTATTTTTACATGCAGAAATATGTATTTTATTTATTTGTTTTCTTTTATTTATCTAAGGTAGGTGTACCTTACGTGATATTACTGATGTTACAAGAATAATATAGTATTTACCATCTTTAAAATAGGTTTCAAGCACTGCTGGTATAGATCGGCACTTTATCCGGACATCGTAAGACTCGTAACTGCCGATAAAAAATTGCACTATTGATATTCTGCAATGATGATGCTGAAGTAATATCGATGCAATAGCAATTCCAAATATCACTGTAACAAATATACAAAAGAAAAAGTAGAAATTTATAAAAACTACATAGTTTGGTATCTCAATGAATCAAATAAAATGTATAAATAGGTTCAATAGCAAAAATCATAAACTTGTTGTAGGTTTTACCTTCAGCAACATGATTGTATTCTTCGTATTGATGTTCTTTATTATAAATAAGATATATACGCAAATTAAAGCGTTCCTTTGTAAAATCAAGTCCATTGAATAGACAAACAAACACAATGTACTTTTGTGATTTGTGATACACATGTATACAAAAGGTCCTTTAAAGAAAACACAACACACATCGCAGAACTTCCTTTTTTAGAAAAACAATCACAAAATCCCATCACAAATTATTAAATAATTTAAAAATTTTTGGCAAAAATTTTTTACAATTTTGACATTTCAAATTTTGTTTTTGTTTCTTTCTTTTTATCAAGCAAAAGTATACATATTATATGCCTGTATTAAAATAGTACAAACTACATGCATACTATTTTATAGAAATAAGGAGATAATATAAAAAGTATTTAATATCAATATCTAATTATTAACAATATTATTTTAATAGTTATTTATTATCTAAATAATTTGGAAAATTATTATTGTAATGTTTTAATATTTTTTTAGCCCCAGCGTTGCGTAAAAAAATAATAATTTGACAATCCATATAGTACAAGAGCCTATGAACCCCAGACCTTTGTTATTTATAACGGACTTAAAAAAAGGAAAAGTTATATATATAAGGTTTTTTTATGTTCCTTCAGGATGACTTCGTCGTTTTTTAACGTATTTTGATGATTCTTTTTTAACCGACTTTAAAAAAAGAGTATCAGTTTGACCTAAATGTATATACATATGTTACAGCCAAAGTGATTAATTTGATATTATTCGTAATGACTAGTAATTGATTAATTACTGACTAGCTATTATGAATAATATCTTCGAAAACTTGGATAAAGTAAATCAGCAAATGGAAATGAACAGGGCTGACGTCTGCACAAAATTTTGAATTTATCGTCATGGGTGTCGTTTTCATGGTTTTCGAGGGTGATAAAGCCGATGGTCCTGTCAAATTGTAAATCCAAGATGGCGTGCGCACAAAATTTTTCAATTTATCGAAATGGGTGTCCTTTTCATGGTTTTCGAGGGTGATAAAACCGATGGTGTTATCAAAATGTAAATCCAAGTTGGCGTCTGCACAAAATTTTGAATATATCGTCATGGGTGTCGTTCTCATTGTTTTCGAGGGTGATAAAACCGATGGTGTTGTCAAAATGTAAATCCAAGATGGCGTCTGCACAAAATTTTGAATGTATCGTCATGGGTGTCGTTCTCATGGTTTTCGAGGGTGATAAAGCCGATGGTGCTGTCAAAATGCAAATCCAAGATGGCGGCTGTACGAAATTTTCAATTTATCGTCATGGGTGTCGTTTTCATGGTTTTCGAGGGTGATAAAGCCGATGGTGTCGTCAAAATGTAAATCCAAGATGGCGTCTGCACAAAATTTTGAATATATCGTCATGGGTGTCGTTCTCATGGTTTTCGAGGGTGATAAAGCCGATGGTGCTGTCAAAATGCAAATCCAAGATGGCGTCTGCACAAAATTTTGAATTTATCGTCATGGGTGTCGTTTTCATGGTTTTCGAGGGTGATAAAGCCGATGGTGTCGTCAAAATGTAAATCCAAGATGGCGTCTGCACAAAATTTTGAATATATCGTCATGGGTGTCGTTCTCATGTTTTCGAGGGTGATAAAGCCGATGGTGCTGTCAAAATGCAAATCCAAGATGGCGTCTGCACAAAATTTTGAATATATCGTCATGGGTGTCGTTCTCATGGTTTTCGAGGGTGATAAAGCCGATGGTGCTGTCAAAATGCAAATCCAAGATGGCGTCTGCACAAAATTTTGAATGTATCGTCATGGGTGTCGTTCTCATGGTTTTCGAGGGTGATAAAGCCGATGGTGCTGTCAAAATGCAAATCCAAGATGGCGGCTGTACGAAATTTTCAATTTATCGTCATGGGTGTCGTTTTCATGGTTTTCGAGGGTGATAAAGCCGATGGTGTCGTCAAAATGTAAATCCAAGATGGCGTCTGCACAAAATTTTGAATTTATTGTCATGAGTATCGTCTTCATGGTTTTCGAGGGTGGTAACAAAGATGGTGCTGTCAAAATGCAAATCCAAGATGGCGGCTGCACGATATTTTCAATTTATCGTTATAGGTGTCGTTTTCATGGTTCTCGAGGGTGGTGAAAATGATGGTGCTGTCAAATTGTAAATCAGAGATGATGACTGAACGAAATAGAGTTAGTGCATTTATCGAGAAAGATTAAGTAAGTGTGTGAATGTGTGTGTGTGTGTGTGATAGAGGGACAGAAAGAATGCGTGCAACCTATTTTATAGATTTTCTATGAAAATTGAGTATTTTCATATAATATTAGTTTTTATTATAATAAAAACGGTGGCCTAGACCTGAGGTTCACAGGCTCTTAGGTTAATGCTTTTGGATGCAGAAACCTGACGCAGTCACTTCATAGAGTTTAGTTTGTCATCTATCACCTAATATCTTTTTAATCTCTATTATTAGTAAAGAGGCTGTCATCTTTGATCGATTATGCCAGCATAACTGTCATTTGATCTAAGTTTAAGGAATTATTTTGTAAAAATTGCAATATAGTATTAAATAAATGTGTATAATGTTATTTTACTATTTCCAAAAAATATTATTATAAACCTAAATTTTTAAATAATGTTGCAACCTTGCTTGGAACTGTGTGGCCACTGAAAATATTAGTTTTGACAACATTTAATTTCAGGTTCGAAAACTAGATGTAGTTGACGGTCCGATTTTTTAAGCTGTCAATGGCTCCAAGTGTGACGGCCCTGCCTCACTATTTTCTATTGGCTGTTGGTTGTTAGTGACCTTGGTAATGACGTTTGTTGTTCCATCATCTTTTTTTAGTCGAACAACCCAACCAACCCAATCAAATCAAAGTAATCAGCTGTCAAATTAAAGTTCTGCTGATAGTGGAAGAAGTTATTTCCCAATAATTTATGATTATTAATTTTAAAAATACTACCTAATTTAAATAACCACTAAAGTCTGTTTCTTGAAAAATTGTGACGAAATGAATAAAATAATTTCCTTACGACTTCGATCATGCCTGTGTTCTGCAAAGAGGAATTTTTGTGCACCGCCACCAAATACGCCGAGCTCCGCTTCAGGACCTACCAGTATGGCTCCAAGATACAAACCAACTGATTTCCAGAAATTCATTTTAGTATGGACCAAAAAGTACAAATCAAAGGAAGAAATCCCAGCCTATGTATCGTACGTTCAACTTATTGTTTTTATGTAATCATTTATTTGAACCGATTCGAAGGGTTCACTTAATAAACATGAACGAAAAAAAATAAAAATGATCTAATCATCAATTTAGTGATAAATTAACTTGTCCTACATGACCTTGTATTTTGAATTGTGTCACATCTTGACAGTGATACCCACTGTGCATCATTCTATATTGTTTTGTCTTCAATAGAGTCACGTATTTGCGATTGCAATAAAATGTTTTTGAATTCGAGACTTCCAAGCAGTGATTGCAAACAGTATAATTATAGCTTATGACTACAGTTTCTTATTTGTAATTAATTAGTTCTGTCAACCAATTTTATTATCTTTTTCTAGTATAAGCAAGAGTTAAGAAATTTTGCACATTGGACTAAAATATCATTGGAAAAAAGTTCTGCCTACATCGTCTACCTAGCCTCTTCCTCATTTCTAGTTAACTTTTTGGGGACTAACACATCCACATGGTATCAACAAATATTATTATTGCTGAAATGATTAGATGTTTTAGATATTTGAATAACCAAATTAATTTATTACATACCGTGTAGAGAAACTTTGTTGTCTAATGACCCATTGTTTTGTTTCAGTGCTGAAATCATTGACAAATCTCGCAGTCAAGCTAGGATAAAGATTGCAAATGTGCTCATGTTACTTACAGCACTTGCTAGTTTTGGAGCAATACTGGCTGGAAAATCAGCAGCTAAAAGAGGAGAATCTGTTCACCAATACAACCTTGATTGGCACAAGAAATATGATGAAGAGTTTAAAGCTAAGGAGGCTGCAGCCGCTGCCAAAGCTAATAATTGATGTAAGCTTGTTGTGAACTCGTATGTTTTATGTAGTCTGTAGTATATTCTCGAACACAAAATGTTTCTTATAAAAGCTATATTATACACCTTTTATTAAAAGTTGTAAATTTTAGAGCAATTCTGATTACAGAGTGATCAATGTACAATATATATTATGTAAATAATTTATTAAAAGTTAATAAATGTTAAATGTGTAATGTCTTCTTGTCTGTTCCTACCTTGTTTTTGTTAGAAAAAAAAAATTGTCCACAATAATTTTATACTGTAGCTTCTTTTGCCCGGTGATAACAAACTATCTTTTGAATTTATCTTATCAAAGAAATCATACAAAAACAGTCAAACATTAATTGTGATTAAAATAATCGGGTTGAACAAGCTAGAGGTTTATAAGAGAAAAATAGATTGCATTAATTGATGTAGGTCTTACTATATTTCTGATGTACTCAGGCTTAAGAAATGAAAGAAAATGAACAGTCTATATTGTTCTATTTATAACCATATATACACTAAATTCCAAATCAAGGTTAATTAAAATGCATGTTATCAGTCTTCATAAGTTGTTGGGTTTGTAATAACTTCTACATTTCTCTGTAAAAACTTTTGTTGTCTTCTCTTTAATAACTTCTTCCACACTAAGTTCCGTCTGCAAAAGTCTCAGCTGAAAAATACAGATTTTCAAGTAAGTATATAAACTATTCAGGCATGGAAATTGGAATACATTCAGAAATATACTCATAAGTCTCAAGTAAATAGTATTTAAAGTAAAGTTCTTCAAATTGTGATCTAAATAAGATGTTTCTTTTACATATTATTAAAGGTAGGTACTTAAATAACATCAATAGTAGTCTACAAGACTATAAAATGTCTGGGTTATTAAACCTTTTTTTGTTCAGCTTTTAAGTTTTTCAGTACTTCAAAGTCGTTCGGTTTTTCATCTTTAGCCACCTTTAACTGTTTTACTGTTTCTGCTGTTACTAAGATACAATTTTTTATAACATTTTCTCTGTCTGAGTGCCCTTTTTGAATTTGAGAGTACAAATCTTCACAAGCAGAGTGAGCGTCGACTTTATTTGCGAATGACTCTGTCGGTATGGAAGTATTAAGAGCGTACACTATCTTATCGTCCATGACACGCATTTTTTTCAGGATATCCTGCAAATAAAACAAATTCTAATAAATAACTAATTGGAAAATTAAGATAAGCGGTTTGAATAAAGTCTGATTAAAACTGAGAGCTATAGGATTATGATATTCTTTAGCAAAAACTTACTTGAAATTCTAAAAAATCTGGGCAATTCATTTGACTAAACATTTTTGAGATTTTAATTTATTGGTAATCTATAGGACTTTTGGTTACTTTCGCTCAATAAGATTTATTTTGAGGTTAGGTCACAAAAATAATGTAGAGCAGTAGGGTTGTTCTGTCAGTTAATGGAATTGTGTCATCATCATCGATATCGATAATTTATTGATATGCGATATTTTATTATGACAGGAAATGTAAAATTATAATGTTAAATAACCTAATTTTATGTGAATAAAATCAGAAAATAACATTATTTAGATTTCACGATTTTTGAAGCCACAGGTTAAGCCAATAGCCCGAGTGTCCAAACAGACATAGACGCAACAAATACAATAACAGTTTTTGTCTGTGGTTCGTTCTTGTTTGTCTATGTAATTCTCCTTTTCATTTCGACAAGTCAAAATGAAGTACGTTTTTAACCAATTTTTATTTAATTTCTTAGTATCTGATTGATCTATACTAATTTTATTAATAATGTGATATTTTCTGAAAGTGCTGTGATGACTTATTATTGTGTGTGATTGATTTTCAGGATCGGACTTTGCGCCTACAGTGGTTACAAGATCTATCCTGGCCATGGCAAAACCATGGTTAAGGTGGACGGCAAGGTATTATTTGTACTTATTATTACAATTAAGTTTAAGTAATGGTGTACTTAACGCTTCTATATTAGTCATGGAATTAAATACTACCAATATTAATTGGTCATTTACTGGCTTTATAAAATTATCACATGATTTTCGATGTAAACATGGAAACACTAATAACTCGTTGTGTTAACACAAAACTCAGTATGCATTGTAATATTATCAAATTTTAGCAAACATTACCGTTTCTGTTTTCAGACCTTCACATTCTTGAACTCAAAATGTGAGGCTGCTCATTTGATGAGGAGGAATCCTCGTAAAGTGACATGGACTGTGCTGTACAGGTAAAATTATATTTTTAATTACATTACATATCATTGAAACTAAATAATTATAACCAGCAGAACACGAGTGAATGTTTGGTGTTGCTCATACACACCTTTTAAGTTACATAGACTTGTTTTTGCCAACATAACCTCTATGCCGTATCCTATATTGAGGTTAGTTTTACTAATTTGTGCATTGAGAATTTGGTGTTATCTGTCTATTAAAAACATTTATTTCCTGTAAACACCCAGTGCACTCAGATATAAAAACAACCATTGTATTATACTAAATATTAATATTTGTTTATCTTCAAGATTTGTTAATGAAAGGGTTCTAATTTAAAACAACATCTTTTGATTACTTACCTTAAAAACTTTAGGAATTTTTATACTTAATAAAAATACTTTACTTTTTTAGGCGCAAGTTCAAGAAGGGTCAAGAAGAAGAACAGACCAAGAAGCGCACAAGAAGGACGCAGAAATACCAGCGTGCTATCGTTGGAGCTTCACTCAGTGACATCATGGCTAAGCGTAACATGAAACCTGAAGTGCGCAAGGCTCAAAGAGATCAGGCCATCAAGTGAGTTATAGCTGATAATTCTCATTAAAATAGTAGAAGAATTGAATATTTGTTGTAATAGAAATAATCTTGAAAAAACTAGTAAAGTTACAAATTATGAAATTGGTAATGTAAAAAACTTAAAAAGCAACCTTGTCCTTTTTCAGAGCTGCCAAGGAACAAAAGAAGTCCACAAAGGCCGCCAAGAAGGCCACAGCACCAGCACCTAAGGCTAAAGCAGCACCTAAAGCCAAGGCCGCTAAAGTCAGTCAAAAGTCCGCCCCTAGGGTTGGAGGAAAACGATAAGACCTTAAATAATAAATACTGATTTTATAAGCCACAATTTTTTTTACTTTTATTTGTAACCTCACTGAAAATACATTTACTGTGTCACCGGGATGGCCTAAACTAACGTAATAAAGATGCCAAGGGGTTTGATAATATTATGTTGAGAGGATAGACAAAAGATTATGAAAATTAATAAATATACAAGTTTATAAACCTGTGAATAAAGCAACGCCCAGTAGAAAGGAAAATGTCTGAATACTGAAACGCTAAAAGAGTGGGAGGGCGAGAGAGAGATGCATAGCTTAAATTCGAGAAAAAAACAATTCCAAGACACCTAAGTATAGTTCTATCATTACAAACTCTGTAAAATGAAAGGATGATTAGCCTTTCAGTATTTGGATGTAAGTGTAGAGCTCTGTAAACAGTGGCGTAACTATACTGGTCAAGGACGGTGGCAAATTCATCTGATAGGCGCCTTTGCCTATTAAAACCGCTTGATAATAAAATCTAATATAGATGTTCAGGTGGCGGCCCGTGGTAATTTGCCGTCTTGCCACCCTGTACTTACGCCACTCTAAAATCACTTGAGGAGATCCTCAAGTGGGAATTTTGGATTCTTTACCCGAATTTGTAATCGGCGGAAGCTAGTTGAGAGAAGTAATAGTTTCATTTGTCTCCGAAATATTTTTAATTACATAACTTCACGCCTGTCTTGTCTCCCATGGAGGTAGGCAGAGACTACGGAATGCCATTTACTACGATTCTTACACTCTTTCGTTTCGTCAACAGCCATCAGTCTTTTCGTGTATGCTCGTCGGTTAAGAGTCCTTATAACTTGGCCCTTTTTTTTAAATATCGCCAATCTGGTCAATATAATATATTCGTCTAGGGCGCCCTCTACGGACGGCCCCATTCATATCCGCTCTGTATACCTACTTCTTTCGTCCATTTTTCTACATGTCCAATGTTCCAAACTAGTGTAACATTGTAAACGCACTCAGGATATAGGAGAAAAACTTAGTGTGGGCTACGTAAAAAAAAAACCTTTGAAAAAAGGTCTCGAATCATTGTGTACCCAAGGACCGCAGCGTAGGTTTACGAAGGCCACGACCATACATAAGTAAGCGTTGTTGTCAATACACACTGCATTACAGCAAGTCGATTTTTGCTGGATATTCTTTTACTCGTAAATGTCGAGACATTACAGAGTGTAACGCACCATTTACACTATTTCCCGCATTCACTTCTTTCAATATCCCCGTCAAACTTTCCATCTCTCGTAAATAGGATCCTAGATAAACAAACTCGTTCACTTGTTCTAATTTTTCATCACCTATCATTACCTGACATTCTGTTATCACCTCATTCCTTTCTATCACCATATTCACCAACACTTTTGTCTTTTTCACATTTACTTTCTAACTTTCCATTTCAATGAATCATTCATCACAGTGATCATTCAGTGTAATTCATCGGCAGACGAGGCAAGGATTCGTCAGCGTACAACAAAGTTTTAATCACTACTATACTCTCCTACTTTCAAATCGTTCAGACAGCAGTTGGACAGCCAAGGAGATGCTACACAGCCTTGTCTAACAACTCGATTAATGTTAAACTACACTGTGTAGGCCCCATATATCCTGACACTGGCACTCGAGTCCTTATATAGGGATTTAAGTGCCTGAATCAGGTGGCTATTTATCTCATACCTACATGGATAAAGTTGACCACAACTCATCTCTCACCACCACCATTTTAAATACCTACGTATTTTTTTATACCACCACATCACAAAGTCGTTTTTATTTCATTCAAACTATACTAACCTGCCTTTACCAACTAGACTAGACTCTTAGTCTAGTAAACGCTCGTCTTAACGAGCGTTTAGCCAAAATTGTATAATATTTTCGAGAATTAAACTGTCAAACACCAAGCGGTCACCGGTGACCGCGACCTATTGTTCTTTAATTGTGTCTATAAAACCAGTACTCGACGAGTTAAAGGACTGCGTCTGGGAGAAAGTGCCAAAGAGTAATGTGCAAAGTTGCCAATCTCAGGTTTTTATGAGCAGAGAAATAAGTAGGTAGTCTCAAATGTATGTATCTCAAAGTATGGCTGGAATTGAACTCCAGGTTGAATAACAACGTACCTAGAGCTAGTGCCCGGCCAGGGCTACAGACCTTGCTTTATTATTAAAAGTGCAACACTTCCTCTCGCCCCATCCTAGGCGGGAGAGGTTCTTGTATCAGGATGATTTTCCCCCCTCAAAAAGGCACTTAGTAGGTAGGTAGTCAGATACACATACTACCAAAACTATCTGTTAGTAATTTGAACTTAGCGATATCTATAAATTTATAATAGACACCTATGAGAGAATTAGTTTTACTGAAGAATTCTGAACTTACATAATAATAATTTCTATGCAAGTAGGTAGATATGTCGATACCTACTAAGTTTTTCAGTATTCTGGAGACAAATCAAACAACACTCCTAGGATAACTTATATTATGGCTGTGCTAGGCATAGTATCTAACAACACAATTAGGTAGTCTTCATAATACGTCATAGTTATGTAAAAAATTATCAGCCAGGGCCAACCAATGTTATAAAAAATTGGCACAATACCAAACCAGTTTAACATTATTTTGAAAAATCTGGTACTGATACCATATCCCATTCCCAAGTTTACCTATTAAGATTTCGAGGATTTTAACCCTCGATTCCTGATGCAGATCAGGGATAGTAGAATATTGCACCTGCGGTTTTCAACACCAAACAGAATGCCTTTTATTATGGGATACACATGAATTAAATCTTGATAGTAGTTATGTAACACTAAAATGAAACAAAAAATAAGTTACAATTTTTTATTTTTTACTGGTAAAGAATGTTTATCTACAATATATCTGTTTGTTGTTTACATAATTTATTGTATGCATAAGCAATCACTTATTAATGGAAACACTAAAAACTAAGTTCATTTACGACTTGGCTAGGGTCTCGGCCTTAGCAACAACTTCCTCGATAGGTCCAACCATGTAGAATGCTACTTCAGGTAGGTGATCATACTCGCCCTGCAGGATTTTAGAGAAGCCCTTGATGGTTTCCTCAAGGGGCACCAGTTTGCCAGCGTGTCCAGTGAATACCTCAGCAACCTGGAAAGGCTGGGACAAGAACCTCTGGATCTTACGGGCACGAGCGACAGTCAGCTTGTCTTCCTCAGACAACTCATCCATACCCAGGATAGCGATGATGTCCTGGAGTGACTTGTAGTCCTGAAGGATCTTCTGTACACCACGAGCCACATTGTAGTGCTCAGCACCAATAATGTTGGGGTCCATGATACGGGAAGTAGAGTCGAGAGGGTCCACGGCGGGGTAGATACCCAGCTCAGCAATAGCACGGGACAGCACAGTGGTGGCGTCCAAGTGAGCGAAGGTGGTGGCAGGGGCAGGGTCAGTCAAGTCATCAGCGGGCACGTAGATAGCCTGCACGGAGGTGATGGATCCCTTCTTGGTGGTGGTAATACGCTCCTGCATGGTACCCATGTCAGTGGCCAGGGTTGGTTGGTAACCTACAGCAGAGGGGATACGACCCAGCAGGGCAGACACCTCAGAACCAGCCTGGGTGAAACGGAAAATGTTGTCAATGAACAGCAGCACATCCTGACCTTCCTGATCACGGAAGTATTCAGCCACGGTCAGACCAGTCAGAGCGACACGGGCACGCGCGCCGGGGGGCTCGTTCATCTGACCGTATACAAGTGCTACCTTGGAGGTCTTGTCCTTCAGGGAGATTACTCCAGACTCAATCATCTCATGGTACAAGTCATTGCCCTCACGGGTACGCTCACCGACTCCAGCGAATACGGAGTAACCACCGTGCGCCTTAGCTACGTTGTTAATCAGCTCCATGATAAGTACGGTCTTACCGACTCCGGCACCTCCAAACAGACCGATCTTACCTCCCTTGGCGTACGGGGCGAGCAGGTCGACGACCTTGATACCAGTGACCAGAATCTCCTGCTGCACGGACATGTCCACGAACTCGGGCGCCTCAGCGTGGATAGCGGCAGTCTTGTCAGTGGGGATGGGGCCACGCTCGTCGATGGGCTCTCCGATTACGTTGATGATGCGGCCGAGGGTTTCAGCGCCCACGGGGATACGAATGGGCGAGCCGCAGTCGAGGACGGGCTGGCCACGAACCAGACCCTCGGTACCGTCCATAGCGATGGTACGGACGGTGTTCTCTCCCAAGTGCTGCGCCACCTCCAGCACAAGCCGGGGTTGACGGTTTTGTACTTCAAGGGCATTTAGAATGGGTGGTAGGTTGTCTTCGAACTGTACGTCCACGACGGCACCAATAACAGCTACCACCTTACCTTGTCCCTTTCCTGCAGCTGCTTTAGCTGCATAATCACGTTTGTTCACCACGGGCGCTGCAACTAAGGGTGCCTTGTCGGAACTATTATTTACTACCGTCCTTGTGGCCAAACGGCCGGCCCTGCAGACGGTAGAGAACATTTTCGTTTAGAAGAATCGATCGAATAAATGCACAGTAGATGGTCGGAGAGGTCACGAAAGAGGTTCGGCCGGACTCTTTACGTAACAATTCGACGTTCAGAAATCGGAAAGATAGGTGATTACGGCACTGCCGTATCCGGACGTACAGATTAAAAAATTAAATAAGTTTTGCTCTCAAACTCTCAACTCTATAACTTACCGGTTAAGGTTCGAAAAAAAATTAGTAAATATAGAAAATAATTAATTTCTGATTTATAAAGAGTATAATTTTATAAAGTCCTAGAATTCTAAAAGAACAATTTCGTTAATACAAAAATAGTCATAAACAATTAGTTATTTTTGGTACACATTTTATCAATAGTATATAATATACTGGAGACCTTCCTGAAAACTATTGTAGAAAGAAATTCAATATTATTTCTAATAATACATTTCGAAAATTTACCTCTTCACCACATTTTAGTATTTATGACAAAAATGACATTGACGGTGACAGTTTTATTTTGTGTCATTTGTTGATGGTGTGTGGAATTGGAATCCAACTAAACTAATCCAAGTGGAAATTCAAATTTGAAACAGCGTGTTGGCTTAAAATATTTTGATATACTTTAACTTCGATTTAATTATAACAACAATTCTAAAAGTAGGTATTTAAAAATGGAATACATTACTCCTGAAAACGAAATTGCGCTTAGCGGAGCACGAATGTAAGTTGTTTTTAGGTTACTTTAATAATGTTTCATTAATATTGTGAAATTTGCTATAATTACATGGTTACAATAAATAATTTTGCTCTATAACGCACCATCAACAGCAGCTATGTAGAGAAATCAATGAAATAATTTTGTATGCAGGTACTGCCATTTTATTATTTTAAAATTTTCAGATTATGTTGTCAATGTGCTGTGCCTATAGAGCCAAATCCTTCCAATATGTGTGTGGCTTGCTTGCGGGCAAATATAGATATTTCAGAAGGCATACCAAAACAAGCAACTCTCTTCTTCTGCCGGGGATGTGAAAGGTAAACTAAGTTTTTTTTTTCATATAATGCAGTACCATTAAATAGAGGTCTAATTGTGATCAATAAAGAGTTTGTCTACCAATCTAATTGGTCATATTGATAAAATACTAGTTGGTAAAATAAAAATGCTGTATGTGTTCAATAATAACATTATTAATGGTTTTTCTAAATGACTTGAATACCTGTTTCAGATATCTACAACCACCAGCAGAATGGGTGGTTGCTGCCCTGGAATCCCGTGAGCTTCTTGCTTTATGCTTAAAGAAACTAAAAGGCTTGAACAGAGTCAAGCTAATTGATGCAGGATTTGCGTGGACTGAACCGCATTCTAAGAGAATAAAGGTATTGTTAATGATTTGCTTATAATATTTATATTGTAACATAATATTGTGCAATACTATGTTTTTTGTTTGTAGGGATCATTAGAGCACTCTATTAATTTTGTCTACTTACATTAGGACCATTTTTATATGGTACAATGTTACCAATTGAATTTTGAAATATAAATAAAAATGACTACACGAAATTATAGTATTCTTTTGTTTATGTTTGTTATTGTTAGGACTAGTTGTGTATAAAAAAACCCAGAAATATTTAGGTACTGGGAAACTCAGCACCTGTGTAAAACTGGAGCAGGTAGTTCACCTATATCCAAAATTTGTTTATACAAAAGTAGTCAGAAAAAGTCAGAGAAAGATCAGAAATAAGGTTTAGAGTTAGTGGAGAGCTGTCACCGCTTGGGGATTGAGCAGTTAATTTATAATATTTTGTTTAAATTAATGTTTACGTTATTTATTCTTAATTTACAGGTCAAACTAACAGTCCAGGGTGAGGTGATGGGTGGAGCAGTACTTCAACAGACTTTCATTGTTGAGTTCACAGTACAGCATCAGATGTGTGATGCCTGCCACCGTTCTGAAGCTCAGGACTACTGGCGCGCTCTAGTACAAGTCAGACAACGCGCCAATAACAGGAAGACTTTCTACTACTTAGAGCAGCTCATTTTGAAACATAAGGCTCATGAAAATACTCTTGGAATTAAACCTAAACATGGTAAGCGAAAGATCTTTGAAGATCTATTTCTTGCATAACATTGTCTCATTCCTATTATTTCTTTAATTTTTGTCTAATCTAGAATGTGAATTTAATTCAATATTCATATCTAACAGTAATTTACTTAATTCCTGTTAAAAGAATGTTTTGCTACGAAAGTCTGTGCAAGTGTTTTCTTTAATCAATTTTTGTACTTAAATTTTCAGATGGATTAGATTTCTTCTATTCAACAGAGAATCATGCGCGCAAAATGGTGGATTTCATACAATCCGTGTTGCCAATAAAATGCCAACATTCCAAGAAGCTGATATCACATGACATTCACAGTAATATTTACAACTATAAGTTCACTTTTAGTATTGAGATTGTGCCGTTGTCCAAGGACAGTGTTGTGTGCCTGCCTAAGAAGTTAACACAGCAACTTGGCGCCATTTCACCCATCTGTTTAGTGAACAGAGTGACAAGTGCTATACATCTGATTGATGCCAGAACTGGTCAAGGTAATTTGATAAGATTAGATCATTATATGGAATATCTTAGTAGAATGAGCATTGGTTGTTGCAAACTTAGACTTATGTATAATTAATTTGAATTGAAAAGGTGTAGTAATTGTCTGTACCTCGACACGAAAATTGTGTTTAAATTAAACAACCAAGTACATTCATAGAATAACAAAATAATAATGTTTATAGTATAAGTCCACATAATTAAATATATTTTCTTTCAGTTTGTGATGTGTCAGCTACAGTGTACTGGAGAAATCCATTCCAACCAATATGTAATCCGAAACAACTAGTGGAATATATTGTTATGGACATTGATGTATTGAAGGAACATGTAAGTTAAATTATTTTGATAGCTGGATAATGATCTGATACACATTATGATTTATATTGCTCGAGATAGGCAGATGTGGCGATGTTAAAACGTTGTTACGTTTTAACACCCATCTATCACTAGTTATTTCATGCATGCATTCCATAAGACAGGAGTCAATTTATTACCCATAATATATTATACAACCCTGTGAAAATTTCTAAGTTCAATCTGACCTTGCTTGGAAATCGCTCTTGCGATCACTCAACCAATCAAGCATTTTATCATCATCATCATCATCATCATCATCATCACTGCTCAACAAAGACTTCTCCTTTACCTTAAGCAGTTATTGGTATCTTAAAATTCTACTAATATTATGAATGCAAACATTTGTGTAGATGCATGTATGTATGTGTGTGTGTTTTTTAATCTTTCACGTCAATAAGGGTGAAGGGATAAAGATGAAATTTCAAACGGGTAGATTGCGGTTTGGAATAACACATAGGCTACTTTTTGTCCTAAGGGATGCGGGCGAAGCCGCTGTCAGAAGCTAGTCTTTGATAAAATCTTGTTATAGTATTAAATGTAATGTCCACACCAATCCTTATTAACATATTATCTTGACTGCATTTCTTTACATTTTTTACTAACTTTTCAGGAAAAGAAATCATTCCCTGGCCAAGGTATGGTGTCCAATAAACATGTGGTAGCAGATGTGTGGGTTGTCAAGGCAAGTGAACTTGGTTTAGATGTTAGCCCTGTCCACACTAGAACACATCTAGGACACATCTTGAAGCCTGGCGATACGGTTTTAGGGTAAGGCATTTCTTTTATACCTACTTTTTTACAAAGGACAATCTATCAATCTATAGACAAACCCTAATGCTGGGTGTGCAAAGTGCTTTAAACTAAACTCAGAGCTTCTGTTGTTGCACTTTTTGTCTATTATTGACTGTTATCTCCATCTCTCAGACTATATCTGATGTCAATTTTATTATACTTATCAGTTCTCAAGGTTGCAAGGAACTTAGTATGTCAATTGGTACGATGTCAAGAAGGCTCGCAATGAAGGATGTTTTTATGGACGTAACACCCTTTTTAGTCATTTTCTTCTGTTCTGATGTTCCGTTGGGAATTAACACTAGTGCTAAGTAGGAGCAGGTTATTAGTTCGTTAAAAACTGCACTCGAATTATAAAAAAAATATATTTTTGTATCTTTTAGCTACAACATCGGTGATTCAAACGTGAACGACGCGAACTTTGACAAATTGGACCGCAGTGTGATTCCTGACGTGTTCTTGGTGAAGAAGTTTTACGGTGAGAGGTCTGCCAGAAGGCGCGCACGCGCATGGAAACTCAAACACATGGCTGAAGAACTACATGAAGGACTTAGCTCTACTAATGAGTGAGTAATTTTTAAGTACATAAGAGTAAAAAAATGTCTTAAGTAACTTTCTTCCAATAATGACTCACTGATGTAGCTTTTTGCTCACAACTTAGGCCCCGTGGTCTAGGAAAAAAAATAGCAAAGTATCCCCTGCAATCCTAACTATCTGAAGTCACACAAAACATATCATTAAAAAGGATCACGGCAATGTAAAAAAAATAAAACAGTTATAATATTAGTAAGAGCCGCCGAAAAATGGGTTTTATTATAATGCAGAACTTTAGAAGTAAGCTCGAACGCATTCTCGTCCGTCATTGGTCGAGATCATTCTCACAACATAACTCACAACCAAAAACATTGCGGACCGCGATCGACTTCACTACGTTCTTTCAAAATGAAAGTTACATAATAGCTTCGCTGAAGGAAATATGAAACGTCGTTTTATATTATGTAAGATTCTATAAAATTAGCCACGATACCATCATACAACTAACATTTATTCCATTTAGAGCTTCAAGTTCATAACTACGTATTTTAAATTTCTAATCTGGTAATTTCCATTGAATAGAGGCGGGCGTATCTTTATATCTGACGTAATCACGTAACACAAATACGCTTCAATAATCAAAACGATTTGAGCCATAGGGTAAAGGTATAAAGTTTATATTAGACTAAACCTAAGCAAATTTTTCAATAGAATCTAAGGTTTGGAATGTTTTTAAAACCAAAATTGCCGCGACTTCGTAAAATGGAAATCCCGAATATAAATAAAATTAACTTTGTGTGGCTTAGTTCTATCCGAAGGTTATCGATAATCATTATTATCTTTCTCTTTCTTATCACATATTTGCTTCCTCTGAGTAAATATTATCTACCATAAGTGGGCCCTTGACATAGTCCTGTCATAGACGTTTCGTCATGATTACCCCACATTTTCTTTTAAGTGGAAAGTATATACTGAAATGAAATGATAATAAAAATGTTGGTAATCTATCGCAATAGTTGTTTTTACGAACAAACAAATTATGTTGTTTGATATTCCAAGTTTTAATTGACTAATGTTTTAAAAAATAAAGTCTGATGTTAATCTTAATATACGTATTAGGGTACTTTTTTCTTTGTAAGAGGCAATCGATTATCATCAAAATGTAACGTGTGAAAGAAACATGTCGATGACTGATGCAATCGCAATAATTACTCGATCTACAATAAGATTATTAAAGTATTAAATAGACCATCTAAATATAATCTACTGTATTAAAATAAGTCGGGTTTTCCTTCCTGACGCTATAACGCCAGAACGCACGAACCCATTTCCACGATTTTGCATTCGTTGGAAAGGTCTCGGGCTCCGTGAGGTTCATAAAATATAAAACAAACAAAAAAATGTTTCTTCATCTTTTAATCACCAAACGAAATGTTATATAAAACGAAGCTATCTGGTGGCGAAACGGAGTTCGCCGGGTTTGCTAGTTTGTTTATAAATAACAATTATATTTTTCCTGTTTATAAACCTATCAATGACAAAGGTTTTGATTATTTTACCAGGATATAAAGCAACCTTTGTGTTATTCCAGGCTTTAGACTAGACTATCTGTGAGTCATTTACACCCTGGTGTATTTTTACGTGAGAGCAGGCCAGCAGGTTAACAGAGACCTTAGCTAGCGCGAGTTTGATTTACGTTTAGAGTAATCGTAACGAGTATGCGTTCGGCACTCTGATTGGCCGGCACCAATGAAGCAGCCAATCACAGCACCGAACGCGTAGGGGAGAGGGGGGCACCTTTGAACACTTTTTGAATAAAATATTATATTTGTCGTATTGTGCTACATATCAAGGTATTTTATATTTTTATGAATAGGTATGCTATTTGTGCTACAAAATAAAAATTAAATTAACTTGTTTTTATTTATTAAAGTAGCAATATTATTATTTTTAAAAAACCATTTTTTGTTCAAATGTGCCCCTGGCAAGGGGCACATTTGATAACACCGGGGGCACTTTTGAAATACCATGATAACAAGAAAACAATGTAGCTTAAAATATAATCAACACTTTATTTAAGACATACAGATCGTAAATAATTATAATATATTGCCACTAACTTCGTACATTCACTATTACTTAAATAAACTTTATAAAACTATTAACAGCCTGGGGCAGTCTTGAACAAATGTAAGTAACTTATTATTTTAATATTTGAGATCTAGTTACATATTGCTAATCTTTGTCTTTATATTATCTTTATAATCTTAACATTATCTTAAAAACATACCATTTAAAATGGTCTCAGGAAGGCATTAAAAAAATATATCAAACAAAATAAACAATCCAAATCACCTTATTCCCAAACATATAAGTAAATATTCAAAAAAAAAAACGAACAACTTCAAAACTTTGGTAATTATACCTAACCTAGTTTAAATTTACTAAAATCAAATTTAAAAGTTAATAGAGCAGCTGTACGAGAAGTTCCTGGAGCAGAGCATGGCTTTGGTAGTTTTTTTACAACATCAGTGATAGGTATGCAGGATTGGTCTTCTTTGTCAGGGAACAAAAATTTAAAACCCAATTTCTTTTTCAAAAAAGAAACTAGAAACATATTTTGGTCTTTACGTTTAATAAAAGCTACGAAATATGTTTGTGATTCTTTTTTGGCAGAGTGACATTTTACCAATATATAGTCATTTTCATTTAAACTCTCATTTGTCAAAGATTGAATTGATTCCCTTTCATCAACTAGATAATTAGACTCAGAATTACTTTGACCATCTGTTAAATCCATATCAGAATCATCATGAAAAGATATATTTCCGTCAGATTCTGAGTTTGACTGATATTTTGGCAACGGTTTCTTCTTTTTATACGTCTTGTTCTTGGGCATACATTTTCCTCGTTTTGATAAAGGCAGAATTGAAGGCTTGCGTTTCATCCGATCCAGATAAGCAGCTTCTACTGCGCATTTTTCGGGAGTATCAGTTAAGATTCGTGACGAGCCTTTCTTTCTGCCTTTTCTTCCGGTACGAGGAATCGCTTTAGGAAACGGTCTTATTGCTTCAGGAGTAACTGTTACTTTTTCCCTTATATTTTCAGTGTTCCTGTTTATTTTCGCCAAATTATCAATATTGGCGGCACTTTCGATTACAGATGGTGAATGTGAAGGAGTTTGCTCATGAGCTTTATTAGTATTCTTAGTAGGTGTTTTTGCAGATTTATCGGTTTCATGATTAAGTTCAGGGGGGAGTTGAGATATAAGGCTTATGGTGGGTTTATTACTTTTGTCAATAGCTTTAATTGATGCTATTACAGGTTGATCTACTTCTATATCTTCAGCATCAGTAGCGTCACTGTCGATTGTAGAAGGTGCTGGAGCAACAATTTGAGCATTGTCAGTAGCGTCAGGAGCAGCTGCTATTGTAAGTTCATTTATTTCCAGATCTTCAGCTTGAGTGACATTATCGTTCACATTATGTGGTATAGACGCACCAAACTGTGATAACACCTGTTGAGGTTGATCAGTCTCCACATCTTCAGCTATTACACCACCAATAACTAAATTCTCAGATGCAACTATCAAGGAAACTTGCGAAGGATCAGCCCGATTAGTCACTTCTGAACATTCAAAGTCATCGTCCGTGAATTTGTTTCTGGAAAACGGATATATTCCTGGCGCAGAAAATCCCGATGTGATGTTATTGATAGTATGTGAAGCATTATATGCAGGGGTGACAATACTTGCGAGATCGTGTATAGTTATTGTTTTGCCCGGATGATTAAGCAACCAATCATTTTGCGCGACTGCAAGCTTCGCCTTAAAAGGACTGTTTACTGCAACGTCAAGTGGTTGGAGTTTATGTGTACAATGAGGGGGAAATGTCAATAGTTCTATGCCGTTTTCTCTTGCAAAATTAATAGCATCGATGGTGCAATGACTCTCATGATTGTCAAGGAGTATAAGAATTTTATTTTCTTTGGTGCATCTAGTGGTTTTTTTAATGTGTTGCAGAACTTTCAGAAACAAAGGTCCAGTCATCCAACCGCTAGTAGGACTATTGGCAAACCCGACACTTCCAACTGGAGCTCCAATAAGCATTGTTTCATGAAACCTAGCTCTTGGAAAAATAAAAACCGGAGGAATGGTATTTCCAAGAGCATTTACAATACCACACATAGTGATCAATTGACCTCTTTCGGCCGAAACACTTTGTCCAACTTGCTTTTGACCTGTTCTAGCAATAACATTGGGTGCTTGAACAACGGTCATAATACTTGTCTCGTCTAAGTTATAGATGCAGTCTGGAGTATAATTTCCGCGTTGTAACACTCTTTCATAATTATCAAAAAACATCATGACATTATGCTTATTAAAGCTGGTTGATCTGGAAAGACTGGTGTTTTCAGGTTTTCGCAAAGATAATACTGGGTGCCTTTTCATAAAGTTTTTCATCCATTCAATGCCCGCACTCTTGTTATCTAACCATTTTTCAGGACACTTATCTAACGCTGCTGCATATTGATATGCCAATTTTCGACCTTGTAAGTAGGTAAGACCATAATTCATTTTGGACATTTTTAAAAAGTACCTTTCCAGCATAAGTTCCTCATCATTAGTAAAAACTTGATGCACAGTGTGTTTGCTGCTATAATTTATATTTTTTGGCATTACATTCTCTTTATATTTCTTTACTCTATAGTACAAAGTGGTTGGTTTTATATTATATATAGCAGCAGCGGTCCTCAGTTTCATCCTATCATTGATAACACACAATACAGCTCTCTCGGCGTCTTCTTCATTCACATCATTTTCTTTTTTCTTTTTGTAATTTCTTACCATTGTGATTTATATCTGTAAAATAATATAAAATGAACTTATTTCATCATATTCATCAATTATTAAAAAAAAAATAAACATCATTTGTTCAAATAGCGGGGGGCACTTTTGAACATTTTATTCATAACTGCCCCACAGTTTTTTTTCAAATCTGCCCCAATACCATCCTTCAGAAACAAAATTATCTAGACGACCAAGAAACTTGTATTTAATTAACTTATATTCGTAATACACTTGCTATAATATACACAACACTATGAAATAATCAAAACTCGAAAATAATACTTACGTTTTCAGTAATCCGCTTACAATAAAAAATAACAATGTTTGTTTTCGTCTCCGTAAAGTAACCGACCACTTTTATTCTGTTTGACACTGACATTGACGTGAATTGGTGACTGACAGACATGTAGTTCGGTGTTACCAGTATTAAAAAGGTATTGGAGGTTAGGAAAGACAAATAATGCGTTTATAAATCCAATAATTCAAAACTGCCTCTGTTCTAAACTGCCCCCCTCTCCCCTACTCGTTACGATTACTACGTAAAACAAACTCGTACTAAGGCCTCTGATTCAAATATGTAGGTAATTTATTCATTGGATTTTCGACTTTATACCAAAAACAATAAAGTTAAAATCTAACAAAGTTTGACAAAGGATGGTGACCTACTGGTCATTGATATACTTCTACAAACTTACTCATTTAGATATAATATCATAGAAACAAAAACTAATACTACCTCACGGTAGCGATGAGGAAAATGTTTTCTTTGATGCCTTATGATTTATTTTCATTATTATTATTTTTTCATTATTTTTTTTAAGGTGTAAATATTTTAGTTTTAATTATTATTATTTATTTCAATAAGAAGTGTAAGATTAAATTCTAATAAATAGTAGAGAATAATATTAAAAGTATATAAAACTAATTATATAATTTCTTTCTACAGGGATTACAATGACTTCTTGGATGATTTAGAAGAGGACCCAGCGTTCAGGCAGAACGTCAATATATTCAAGGACGAGAACAAAATACCGGTTGACACTGACGAGATTGATCCTTCATTGCCTCGCATCACTCTCGCCGAAATGTTAGACGATATGGTTATTGAAGATGTTGATATGACCGAAGTTTAAAACTAAATAATTTTCATTTAAGTTATTCGTAAGATCTTGTTTTCATACAATAAAATATGTTTATTTTTATATACTGTTTGATTTCTTTCGTATTTAATTGAAAAGCCAAGGTTTGTTTAGATAATAATTTATAAACTAGTGTGAATTTTGCAATCAAAATAACGAATTGTTTTTCAAATTGGATATGAACCTAAAAACCTTGACTCGTTCTTAACTATTTGAGACAGCTGTATAGACTATAGAATGTTATCGTAGGGAATTTGTATTTCGAAAATACAAAGGCGATAATCTTTTGTAAGCGATATATACGATAGTAGTACCTAATCAAGATAATATTGTTATTAACACATAATTATAATTAGAGAATGTTTGGCGCATGCGTTGTGGTTTGTGTACTTTGGAAGACGACGTGATGTCCTGTCTACTTTAATCCTTTTATTCGTAGATAATAGACAGGTGCACTTATTATTTTTAGGAAATCAAATAATTTACTACCAAGCATTCTAAAATACCTATTATAACTTAGGTCAGCGAAACTGGTCAGTTTTTTCTAGTTCACGCTTATCTATTGAGAAAACATATTTCACGAACGTGAATTTAAGATAATGATGATTGATAGTGGATTTTCTATCGCTGCTTACGTATCTACGTTGCGTGTGCGTATAAACCACGTTCGAGTTTGAATAAAACCACATGTGGGGAGGCTGATTAGATGCACGATTATAGAACTTATTTGATATACACGAACACGCTAAGCTAAAACCAGATCAAGTCCACGGATATTGATAAATAAACAAATACTTGCATTATCTATTGAAAACCACGCCTGTAGCCCGCATTAATGTAATAAACTTTGATGTTCGAAAAATGACAACAATTTCGATTGCTGGTCGCACGTGCTCGGTATCTGGTTTATCTATATAAAGGTGGAACACTCGATTATCATTCATTGTTGTACAATCAAGCAAGCAAGATGAGGGTTCTAGTAGTTGTAGTAACATTATTAACGTCGTCCTTAGCAACACAGTTGTCTATAGGTATGGTGTCAAAATATACATAATAATAAATAAATAATTAAACATAAGTGTAACATAAATAAAGTGTATAAATAAATGTTCGTGTTTTAGACGAAATAGAGGAATTGTTTAGGAAGAGAGTAAGGAATGAATTATCCGAATTAGAATCTCAAAAAGTGGATGACTTGATGGAGTTGTTCCGCCGCCAAGATTATTTATCCAAACAGACGGAAAATGAACGGAGCAGTAGAATGGTGAGCAATACACAAAATATTATCTTATACACCACATCTACATAATACAAAACAGAGATATTGAAGTTTCTGATCTCTTGTATGGGAAGTTGGAGACTGCTAAAGTGTTGCTTGGTGTCGGGACTAAAAACGAGTTAGGAAAAAAAGACGAAAGATAGGAGGAGAAGAAATAAACTACAAAGAAATCTTACAGTATACGAGTACAACGCCGCGGACGACTTAACGGGTTGCCAGAGCTCCGGTTCGAAGGGCAGGAGTAGGAACGGGGTGGTTTTTAGTTAGTCTGACACTCCCACTTCACCCAGGTGGGAGAAGTCATTCGATGATTTTCCCCCCTTAAAAAAATACGGGTACAACAATACCCATGTTGGGCCATTTCTGAATCATAGGGTGTCTGTACTCTGTAGTACTAACCTACCTTATTACCCATTTGGGTATTTACCCATATTCTTCTTTCCGGTTGATCCTAAGATTCCCAATAAAATTAGATTTTCCACTTTCTGACCATCAAGCGCCACATTACTAGATACCTATTATTCCTCTTCGCATACCTACCTATCTACCTATATATATTTTAAATTGAGTTCCTTAAATTTGTCATCATTCAGTTACCTGCAGTAGGTACGTACTTTTTCTATTACTCAATATTTACCTATGTTTCAATAACTTTATCTTATTTAATTAATTAGTATTAAAAACCCCGCATCCTCTTCACATATCTAATCTAACATTAATACTTATTGGCATTTTAATAATTTAAAACATGAAACATGTTTTAATAAAAAGATGGATAAAGAAAAGTAGGTAACTGAAAATAAATATGTTAGTGAATGTCTAATTGTCTAATACCTAGGTGCTCAACTAAATCCTCTTCCCTCCTATTCGCTTTCGCACCAATGTAATATTCTTACATCATACCTACAGCCAGTGACAGTCCTCGGCTAGCTAGAATACATAAAAGTGGTTTACCATAATTTCCATACTTGGCAGGAGGGTAAGAGAGCGTAGTTTAAAAGGTTCCGGTTGCCTGGGAGCAATGCTGCTTGGTTTCTGCTAGCCTATAGGAAGTGAAAGGGAAGCAACAAATATATCTCTCTCTTCAGATAATGATTTACTATTATAATATTTTTACCTGTTTTCAGTCATTGGATTGTGCATTTTGCCGAGCGGCGTTTAGTACAGTATTTGAATACGTACACAACAACCAAACGGCTGAAGCTGAACAAGTTGTTACAAACCTCTGTACTTCTTTGGGTATTCAATCTTACGTCGTTTGCAAAGGAGCTATAGAACTCAATGTGGTAAGGACTTATGGTATTTATAGACTATTTTTATTACATTTTTATAGATGGATTTAAATTTAATGATCTATTTGTTTAATTTCTAGCCAATAATAATACACATAATCGAAACAGTACCTGAGGCCACGCCAAGAGCGTTTTGTGGACTTGTTTTACAAAATGCGGGCAATCCCAACTTCTGTAGAATTGACGACCCGAGGTTCGAGTGGGAAGTTGACCTGCCCGAGCAGGCGCCAGAAACCCAGGTAAGTTATTTGACTTTAATGTTAATTTAGGACATTATAACGGATAGTTAGGTATAAACACCTGCAAGATTTGCCTCGATACCTACATCCGTCCGAGCACCTACTTATTAGGTACCTTAGAAAAAGCGCGACAACTCGCGTGATGTTTGAAGTGGTGATAAAATTCGTAAGGTATTAGTATTACTCAGCACGAAGTGTAATGACATTACTTCTGACATTACCACTGAATGAGTGGTTTAGAAATCTAGGTAGGATCTATGGATCAGCCTCAATCTTTGATATTATGATTTTTACCTATTTGCAGCAACAAGACCCTCTTGCCGATACAAGACCACTTAGAATAGCTGTTATAACAGATGCCCATATTGATCCTTTGTATGAAGCCCATGGAGTTGCTGACTGCGACCAACCAGTTTGCTGCAGAGTAGGGCAATCACCAGCTCATCGATATATTTATCCGATGAAACGATCCATCGCAGAGGAAAGTTTAATTGATCAGAGTGTTAAAGACGATAATGATGAAATTAAAATAGATTTAAGCGTAGTTCCTGAGCTACGTCAGTTGAGGAGATCGATACAAACCAGAACTTTGGCGCCAAGAAATTCTGCACCAGCCGGCTATTGGGGAGATTACAGAGACTGTGACACGCCCATTTGGGCATTTGATAACGTTATCGATACTATTACAGAGTCCCACACGGTAATTATCTTTTAATATTCTTCGCCTTCCCTGCTTTTGCCTGTTTCATATAATTAATTTTGAAGTAGCATTTTCTCTACCACAGTATGATTTTAGATGATGATTGTGTTTAGGTATATTAGGTGATGAAATTAACTTTATATTCACTGTAAACAATGATGGTGCTAAAACAATTATTAAATCCTAATCCTTACTGATACGATTGATAACATTACAGAATATTGACGTAGTATATTACATCGGTGACACAGTTGACCACGGAGTATGGGAGACCACATATGAAATGATTGACGACAGTAACCGGCATATCATTGAGAAAATTAGGTCTAATTTTGGAGATAATGTAGCTGTCTTCCCTGTTATTGGAAATCATGAATCTCAACCGACGAACCAGTGAGTATTGCATTGCTGAACCAGTACATAGTACATACTGGATAGTCATTGTCTAATTAGGTATCTACAGCACTTGTCTACTCAATAGGATGTAAGGAATAAATACGCAATATATGTTATTAAAAAAATCACTAAGTTGATAGTTTATCAAAACTAAAGTAAAGTAAATGCAAAGGAGCTTATTTAGAATCATCTACCTAATCATCAACAAAACATGCCTTAAAACTAGTATATAATTTGGATGCACTGAAGTTCTGTGCGCCTAATTATTTCCCCACGTCAAAATGTTATTCCTTTATTCTTCAGATTCGCCCCATCGTATGTGCTTGGTGAACATATAAACACAACATGGTTGTACGACGCTCTTACAAAAAAATGGGATTTCTATCTGTCTGAGGACGCAAAAGAAACTGTACGAGCACGTGGAGAATATTCGATGCTGGTCAGACCAGGACTTAGGGTTATTGCGATGAATAACAACGTTGCCTATAAATATAATTGGTGAGTATCTGTGCATTACGTAGCATCGGCTTTGTCAAAAAATGTAGGAAGGTAGTAACAGTATTATGGCCAAGGGATGAAAAGTGTTTCAATGCCATCAAGGGTCACAGATAAAATTAATAGTCAATGAAAAAGTAGATGCTGTGGAATGAGACAAATATGTGAATAGTCTTGGGTAACCAATTTATAGTCAATTCTATTTTGTTTCAGGTGGCTAGTTTACGACCCATTAGATGCGAAAAGACATCTGGAGTGGTTGGTTGACGAGTTATACAAAGCTGAAAAGGCTGGAGAGAAAGTTCACATCTTAGCACACATACCAGCAGGAGTTAGCGATCTTACGCAAACATGGACAAGAGAATACAATAGAATTGTTAACAGGTAATTTTATCGATAAAAATCAGTGCAATAAAATAACAATTCCAGTAAATATGTAGGAAAATCAATAACAATTTAATTAGTAAAGATTAAAGTAATAAATTTTGTTAATTAATCGCTGACGGTAAAAAAGTACCGGAGATAGTGATCGATAACTTTCCGTTAGGTATTTAGGTAATGTTATTTTTTATTTATCTGCAAATCGGTAAGTTACGTGAAAGATTTACAGACAAAGGATAAACTGAACTTTGAACCTGATGAGTTTAATGACAAACTAAAAAGTGTATTACATATAGTCATGATTTGACACAAAAGCAAATTGCAATTGCAATTTTTGTTTCACTCAGATGGCGCTAGTTATGCTTTATGTCCTGTTCGATTTTTTCCAATCACTGCAGCTGTGAAACGGTTATATTATTTGGTAACGGAATCTCTAGGCAACTATCTGCTGCACAACTTATCGCGGGTTCTACTCAAGCACGGAATAATAAATTGTATGAACGAATGAATGAGGTGAATAGCATATGACACAAGAGAAAAAAAAAACTTTGGTGGAACCACATTTTACAAAAATATTGAATTTACATTCGCAAGATTAGGCTACAGCAGCGCTTCTCATAAACCAAGGTTTAAACAGTTCCTATAGTTGTTATTTTGAAAATTACCGTCTATAATTTTCAGATTTTCGAAAACAATAGCAGCTGAATTCAATGGACACACTCACTCGGATGAGTTTAAGATATTCTACAGTCTAAAAGATGGTAGTCCTATCAACGTGGCGTGGGGAGCCGGCAGCACTACCGCGTACACCTTCTACAATCTCAATTACAAAATTATTGACTTTGACAGCGAAACTTACGTAAGTATTCTAGAAAACTTGTTTTGTAAATATGGGTAATACCTACAATTAATTACATATGGTGTTTAGGTACATTACGAGTTCGGCTAGTGATTAACTAAGTACTAAATTGCCCTTCTTCTGGCCAGATTAGTCTAATTGGGACACACTTTAGTCATTATTTTATAAAGTAATTTAATTGATATGTATACCTACTTGTGTAGTATATTACCAAGAAGGCTTGACCCTGCACCCAAAACAAAAGGCATTAGATAAGTACCGATGACCATTGTTTAACACGATTTCTCTTTGCCCACAGTACCCAGAAAGTATAGTGAACTACGTGTACAACTTAACAGAAGCCAATCTCACCCCAAACCGACCGCCTCATTGGTTCCAGCTCTACGATATGAAAAATACATTTGGACTTCCCGACCTATCCCCTGTATCTATGGACAACTTAGTCCACAGAATGGTTACAGGAGAAAGACATTTACTGGACAAGTATGCAGCATTCTATTCCAAAGTCAACGACATTCGCTGGTCAAGTTGTAATGACTGGTGCAAAATAGACAACCTTTGTAAAACAGTTGTCACTGTATTGTGGCAAAGACAGAAGTGTGACGAAATAAGAAACCTGTTCTTTTCTTAAGTTATATTATTTAGAAATCAATGTATTTTTTTAAGAATTTTCTCGATAATTCGAGGCGATACTGTCGTATGTCGAGGTTCTTAATTCATTTAAACCACTTATCTAAATGTGATACTATTATCCGAAACCCTACTTAGTCGTTATGTACTGCTGTCCACAAAATAAATATTATTTTCGATATGTATTCAAACAGTAAGAATATAAAATGTGACTGAAATAAATGTTAATAATAGACACATACTTTTGGATGTATATTACAATAAAGTTTTTTGTTTATACATTTCTTTTTCATTAAATATTACCCAAATATTTATTCACAATATGTCCAAGTCAAAGAATATAGTCAAATTATGTACTTGCATTTTCTTTTAATAAAATAGTTAAAGTGCAAACAATAAGTGATTTATTTCATTATATAATATAACTAAAATTTTCTATAAATCTACGTAATAAATAACATCAGTGGTTTAATATACTTAGCCAGGTGATCTTCGGTTTTGACCTTAAATCATCACTTGGTATCTTGTCTAATTCTGCGATCTGGAACAAAAATAATATAAATGCAGACTATATGTAGAGTAATGGCAGTCTGTGGGTTTCAAACCTCTTCTTCATTACAGAGAGGGATCTTTGAAGGGAATGGGAATAATTTGTGCTTGACATTCGCGCTCGCGAATGCGAAATGAAATGCGATTTCCGATTTAGGTACATAATACTTACTGACATTCACCATTTTCAACAATTTTAGGAATGTGTATAACCTGCTCTGGTTGATGGGCATAATAACAAACGGACAAGCAATGAGTGATATTAACTCGTTGAGTACCGTCATTATAGACACAATTATAGAACAATAGGTTGCGGTCACCGGTGACCACTCGGTGTTTGACAGTTTAAACCATGTCTCAGTGGCTCAGTCTATCCTTTTTATGTAGGTATATGGACACTCATTCACAAATTTATTCATGTTATTATAGCCTAAAAAAAGTGAGCAATGGGAACCTATAGAAGATTTCTTTACCTGGTGCCTAATAAACTTAACAAGCCTCTCAATGTGTTCTGCCTTGACATCTTCAGCTAATGAGTAGAATCTCCTCCAGATGGCTGCAGCCAGTATTTTATCATCACTAAGTCCTTCATCATAAGCTACCAAGGAAGCTTGAAACTGTTCTGACAATTCTGATACTTGCTTTCTTGCTATTGCTGGATTGGCACCCTGAGAAGAATAGAAAGAGTATATTAAAAAATGAAATGTTAGTTTTGCTCTATGGGTAGAATTTATAATTTTATTTCCAAAATTTGTAGAGAATAGAAATAATTAAATGCTTTCTATTATGCTAGAAGATAATTTTTTTTCTTTCAAATAGCAAGATGTAGAGGAAGGAAATATTTATTTAAATTCACATACTTTTACAAGATTTATATAAGCTAACAAACAAAGCTAAAAATTACCTCTAAGAGTTTTATTTTGTTGGCAACATCGGCCCACAGAGCCTCAATAATACAATTCCTCACAAAATGTCCATCTCCTTTTATATATTTTTTCGTTTCATTGACAGGTAATAGAATATCTTCAGCCATGTAACGCACCATAAGCATCCAAACATGCAACTCGGTAATGACGAACCATGAAGCAAAAGTATCAGGCAGTTCTAGGCTCTCAAACCATTCAGCATAAGATACATTTTCTGGTATACATTCATATAAGAAATATCCTGTCAATTTTAAACGCTGAAAAAAGTAAGATTAGGTTTATATTAATAATTATTATAGATATTTATTGGATTTAAAAAATAACTTATTTAAATTAAATTGTTCATATACATGCCAAATTTAGAGTTTTTTACTGGTCAAAATTACTAAAAAAAAATGTTTAGCTAAAAATTAGGAGTTACTCATGTAAATATACTTAAAAAACTCTACTAGCGGTAGGCTGTGTAACATCACTGCGACCACTGCTAATGAAGAAGAGGAAGCACAGCTTTTCTCAGTATTTATGTGAGTACCTCATAATTTTTAGTTAATTAAGCATGTCAATAGTTATTATCAAAACAATGTTTAGCCAATTTGAATATACTATTGAGAATGGCATTCTTTCTTTATTCATCTTCCGGTATCTCTAGTTAGCGCGCTCCAGAAGCGCAAGTTTTCGTTTTCATAGTGTGTGTAAACTCCTCATTTTCGTTTGACTATTGGCTTACTTAAATAAACCGATGAATACGTAAAAACATTTGTAAATTACTTACAGTCCTAGATTGGTCCATCCATCCAACTGCATTCATGAATTTTTTCACATAGCTATCTTCCACAGTTACAGTATTTAAACTTCTTGAATGCAAGAAGTTTGGTTTGCTAATATGCAAGATGCTAGCGCATGGTCTTGCATAATGTATTCTAATTTGAGCTTGCTGATGCCATAATGCCTGCAATTATATCCTTATTAGTTTTCTTGCATTCTTATAAACAAATTAACATTCAGTGTTAAATTATTAGGTTACAGGTGAACATTATCTCTTCAAAATGTAAAAATATTTGAGTATAGTAATGTATAAGTTTTATTAACTGCATTCATAAACACAAAACCTACACGAGATATAGTACGTGTGCGGAACATGCCGTTTTATTTATAAGTTACAGATGTACACCAAAATAACTTTTCACTTGAATATTATTGCATTTTCCTATTTTTTTACAGCTGAAGTACCAATGAAGTACTGAAAATGTCAGATGGATGGCAATTGTCAAGGATGACAACTGAATACTGACAGAGACTGTTTGACAGTAACTAGCAGTCAGACTTCTCCTGTGTATAATCTATGGACTTACAGCTAGTGCTACGGCTACGCCTAAATGATTCTGAAGTCTTAATAATTATTATACAATAAGATTTCTTAATGCCTTAATAAAATAATATATAATGAATCTTGTTTCTGTCGCACATATAAAATGTAATAATGAAGCAAATTTAATTCCGATTATAAGAAATCAGACCCAAACTTATTGGAATATTGAGACAGTCGAATAGAATCTAATTTGATAATATTTTAAAACAATTGTTAAATATAGCTAATTTTGCAGATTTATAATTTGAGTCTATTTCTGTATTGAAACTTGTATTTTTTTATAATGAAACTTATAAACAAATCTCATAGAGTACAGCCTAATGTAATGAATGACAACACTAGCCCGTTCAATAAGTTCACGTTTTGAGATTTCGTGTCTATAGTATTTTTTAAGGTTACATAATTTACGGTGGGCGCCGATTCTTCGCCCAAGTGCATTAAATAATCGAAAATGTTGGGGGCTGTAAGTCGGGTTGGTAGCGGCCTTTTAGCCGTAAAGTCGGTAGCTGAAAAAACCTTAACAGAATGTGGCAAGCTCGCAACCGTTTCTGCCATCAACAAAAGGGATTATGCAGCAAAAGCCGCTGCAGGCAAAGGCCAAGGTAAGGTAGTGGCTGTCATCGGTGCTGTTGTGGACGTACAGTTCGAAGACAACCTACCACCCATTCTAAATGCCCTTGAAGTACAAAACCGTCAACCCCGGCTTGTGCTGGAGGTGGCGCAGCACTTGGGAGAGAACACCGTCCGTACCATCGCTATGGACGGTACCGAGGGTCTGGTTCGTGGCCAGCCCGTCCTCGACTGCGGCTCGCCCATTCGTATCCCCGTGGGCGCTGAGACCCTCGGCCGCATCATCAACGTAATCGGAGAGCCCATCGACGAGCGCGGCCCCATCCCCACTGACAAGACTGCCGCTATCCACGCTGAGGCGCCCGAGTTCGTGGACATGTCCGTGCAGCAGGAGATTCTGGTCACTGGTATCAAGGTCGTCGACCTGCTCGCCCCGTACGCCAAGGGAGGTAAGATCGGTCTGTTCGGAGGTGCCGGAGTCGGTAAGACCGTACTTATCATGGAGCTGATCAACAACGTAGCTAAGGCGCACGGTGGTTACTCCGTATTCGCTGGAGTCGGTGAGCGTACCCGTGAGGGCAATGACTTGTACCATGAGATGATTGAGTCCGGAGTAATCTCCCTGAAGGACAAGACCTCCAAGGTAGCACTTGTGTACGGTCAGATGAACGAGCCCCCCGGCGCGCGTGCCCGTGTCGCTCTGACTGGTCTGACCGTGGCTGAATACTTCCGTGATCAGGAAGGTCAGGATGTGCTGCTGTTCATTGACAACATTTTCCGTTTCACCCAGGCTGGTTCTGAGGTGTCTGCCCTGCTGGGTCGTATCCCCTCTGCTGTAGGTTACCAACCAACCCTGGCCACTGACATGGGTACCATGCAGGAGCGTATTACCACCACCAAGAAGGGATCCATCACCTCCGTGCAGGCTATCTACGTGCCCGCTGATGACTTGACTGACCCTGCCCCTGCCACCACCTTCGCTCACTTAGACGCCACCACTGTGCTGTCCCGTGCTATTGCTGAGCTGGGTATCTACCCCGCCGTGGACCCTCTTGACTCTACTTCCCGTATCATGGACCCCAACATTATTGGTGCTGAGCACTACAATGTGGCTCGTGGTGTACAGAAGATCCTTCAGGACTACAAGTCACTCCAGGACATCATCGCTATCCTGGGTATGGATGAGTTGTCTGAGGAAGACAAGCTGACTGTCGCTCGTGCCCGTAAGATCCAGAGGTTCTTGTCCCAGCCTTTCCAGGTTGCTGAGGTATTCACTGGACACGCTGGCAAACTGGTGCCCCTTGAGGAAACTATCAAGGGCTTCTCTAAAATCCTGCAGGGCGAGTATGATCACCTACCTGAAGTAGCATTCTACATGGTTGGACCTATTGAGGAAGTTGTTGCTAAGGCCGAAACCCTAGCTAAGTCGTAAATGATTGCAACTTGTTGTTAACAGAGTACCCTGCAAGAATCCTTAATCAAATGTTGACACGAATGCGTGTGCGGGAGTAATGTTATTTCTAAATAAATTTAGTGAAAACTAAGAAGTTTTTTATTCATACATCATATTATAATGCACCCTTTCATGGTTGTCGTACTAATATTTTTAAATACTTTTTACATTACTGAAATTAGGTAGTGTCGATAAACGCCTTTGATTCCCCGAAGGGGTTGGTAGAAATGAGTGTTCACACTATTCGTCGGTTATCGAGTCTTATAAATTATAATACCTACTGAAATTTGTAGCCGACAAATTCAGACTCCGTGGTAACTAAGAATTTAATTACCTTACTCTTGCAACTTCGACCAATAAACTAATTTTAATTTAAAACCGGGTAGATTATCCTGAAATCACTAAAATAATGATAAACTGGCGTAATTACCTAATTACGCCAGTTTATCATTATTTTGACTTGAAACACGAAGTCATTACCTAATGACTTCGTGTTTCTATTACTACTGATAAATATTTTGACCCGTGCCTAACTCTCAAATGCAGAATATCTTATAACTAGATACTTAGATTACCTATATAGAATACCTATTAGGTTAAGATTAGAATTGAATTCTACTTTAGAAAATTGTGAGAATATCACCTGACCTGATTCACTTTTGAGGTTATGTGTATCAGCTGATTACAATAACAAAAAAAAGAATTTTTGTCATTGCTATTTTGCTTTTCCTTGTGATATTTAGAGGAATGGTTATAAAATAGGTAGGCTCCTAATTGCTTTACATTAGACAACAAAGGTATTTAGATACAGATTTGGTTATGCAACTACATAATTAACATAAGAATATATTTACCTAATTATGGTACAATCAGGTACAAATATATAACAAGATTATTTTAGAAAAACTTTCAACTACTTAAATAAAAAATTTCATCAATAATCTCAATATTTATAGTACCTAGGTAGTACATTTTCCTATAACCTATTCTGTAGGTATATTTACCTACCTACAACAGTTAGAGCTTGGGAAGTAGTATTGGTAAGGTACCTATATTATATTCTTTTTCCCAATGTTTAGACTTATATAACAAGTAATTAATTAATTACCTAGATAAGTACCTAACTATAGGGGTAACAGGTAGGTAACTTAAGGCCACCTATACTATGAACTGATTTAATAAGCCCAGTTTTTGTAGTTTCAATAAAACACTGGCCAGAGATGAACACCTATTGCGTTTACTTAATAACAAAACCAAAAGGTTATTGAAAACATCTTGCTATGTACCTATTTCTCCTATACCTATACCTGTCTCAAATTATCAACCACCAAAGGTAGATTTTCTTGACTAGCATTTTCATAAATGGGTCATTTTGATGATTTGCCCCCTAATGAAAATATTCTCATCGTGGGTGAGACGTCTTTAGTCGTGAGGACTATATACGCGTCCAGAACCGAGGTGCAGCCGCAATAAAAAGTTGACTTTTACCTTACCTGGGAATTGACCTTGAGACATCTCAACATGGGAGTTTTAAGCGATAAACGGATATAAACCTGACCTTGGGACCTGAAGATGATGTCAGGAATTGGGGACACAATACAATTTAATGTAAAAACCTGAATAAATGAAAATAAACAATTTGTTTCTTAATATCTATTTAATTTGTTATTTCTACCTAAGGGCGTAGGTTCTAGTTGATTTAAACGTTAAACAAAAGTGCTTTAAAGCATAAACTAAAATAAATGTTTCCGTCATTTCTTACAAAGTCTATAATACAGTTGTGTCAATAACTTCTGTAGCTGTTTCCTTACTTATTACAGATTCGTCAATAGTTTCTTCTACAATATCATCATCATCGTCCTCAAGAAGTCTGTCTTCAGATTTCGAATCCATAGTGTCATTATCTAATGAAATGCATTCTTCAACATCGGTGGGTACGTTTTTCTCTACATTAGTATCTGATACAGTAGTATCAGATGTATCATTATTTACATCTTCAGGTGTTAATGATTTACAATTTTCAGTCGGTGTTGTTATTGTTGGCTTTGAAGTTTCTACTGGTGTTTCAGAAGACGCCGGAGACGCTGTTTCTTGATTTTTATTGGGTACTTTACTAACTGGTTGAGCTATAGCGCATTCCACCTTAGGAACTTTAACAACGACTACCTGATCTTGGTCGTCACTCGAATTCCTTTTATTTGGATCTTTCAGTTTTATTGTTTGGAATTTAAGTGGAGACACTTGTGTCCCATCTTTATTTCTGTTGATTGGCTTGATGACTAGTATTTTAGTTTTCAATCCGGATTTTGTAAAATCCGAAATGTTTTTGTTTATAATAGGATTTTTCATAACTTCTAGACTCTGACGACGAAACTTGAAAGGAACAACTGAAGGAAGACTTTTCGGTTTAATTATTTCAGGAATAATAGGTTTTATGCTATTTTGTTCTTTAGAGGAAACTGCACTTACAACTGCAGTTTCAACTACTTCGGGCTTTGAATTTATCTCTTCATCTTTAGTTTTGGAAACTTCTTCAACAGGAACATTTTTAACTGTGGAAGCTTTTTCAGGCACTTCTTTTACTGGACTAGGAGATTCTTTCGTATCTTCATTATTTTCTTTTTTAGGAGATATTTTATCTCCTCTCGAAATAAGCTTAGGTAACATTGGTCTGACAAATACATTTGGTAGTCTTATATCTTTTTGGGGGCAAATCGTAGTGAAATCGGTTTTTATATGTGCACCTGATCTTTCAACACACTTCTTTGACAATGTGATTAGTGCTCCACAGCATTCTTTGTTAATATTATCATAGTTACTTTGTACATCTTGAACTTTTTTCTTGGTTTGTCCTGATTTGGCAGTAGCCATTGAAATAGAATCTCTATAACCTTGAGCTTCCATTTTAAGTAAATTTGATAAATCATATTCAAAGTCTGCATTCTTAGGTTTCGTTCTTCTCCTAACTGGTCTTCTAGATGCGACCGATGACGTGTTTTCGTTAGATAATTGCTTTTTAGCATCAATGTCATCCAAGTCAGAAGAATTTTCTTCAAAGTTTTTGACAGTTGTAGATGAATAGTTGTCTAGATTGATACTTTTGTCCATGGATGAATCTCCATCCTTGTCTTGAATTGCTGAAAGTAGAACAATAAAATAATTAATTAAAGAGGAGGAAAAGAGGGGTTTTTGAGTAACTTTATTACGCACATAAATTATACTTACGTTTACTAACAAATTCCTTTCTCTTTTTCGCATTAGTTTTGGTGTGGAAAACTTTTCTCTTTCTACTTAATCCTTCTACTCGGGTGCTACTTGAGGAACTGTCGTCAGATAATCTACTGGAATCGCTGGAGCATCGGCTAGGCCGTCTCGACTCTGGACTTGTTTCAGCAGCATCAGGCAGTTCGTCCGTCGACTCGCACAGTTCTAAAGCTTCAGGACCATCAATGGCTTTCACAGTACTGTAGTAAAAATCTTTATCACCTTTCAGTTTATGAACAACTTTTACGTGTTCAGGTAACTTTTCAAAGTAATAATGCTTGAAGTTACACAGCTTGCAAGCATATCGCATCCATTTGACGTGTTCCGCCACATGATCGTACAGTTCTTGTGTTTCACCAAATTGGGCGTCACATCTTTTACATAACATTTTGGTTATTTCTATCTCTGATTGAATTCTTTGTCTGAAAGCTGCTAGGTTGCCTTTTTCTGCTTGATGAGCGTAAGGCAATCTGATATTAAGTTTCGGTGGATCTATTTGTCGTTTTTCAGGCACTTTATCTGGAGATTCTGGGGCATCGTTGGATTTGCTATCATCGTCACTAACGTCCATTGCCGCATCTTCTACCTCCTTATTATCATCATCTTCATCCTTGTCTTCATCAGCTTCTTTGTCTTCGATCACAATTTGTTTTTCTTCATCTTTAGGTTTTGGTAAGGCTTGCTGCTCGTCCTTGGTGGTTTTGTTTTCTGTGAAAAAGAACATTTCGTTTATTAAGTAAAATTGTAATGTGTAAAACGATTGTTGATTTAGTGACACATAGTGTAAACATCTCAATAAACATTCTTTATCTAATTTTATTTGTTGATCCAATAACCGTATTTTTTTCTTATTTTAGATAAACACACTAGTGAAATATTTACCGTTAGCATCAGTAATTTTGATGGGCAGGTTCAAATGAACAGAGGGTCCCTTGTGGTAGTCCTTGCGGATCTGTATCTCGATCTTCTTGGTCTCGTGCGGGCGGCGCGCGAGGGCCCGCGAGCGCGGCTGGCAGGTGTGTGTGTGCGCGGCGAGCGCGGCGCGGCGCTCGAACGTGCGCCCGCACCCGCCGCAGCGCGGCGCGGACCCGTCGCACTCCAGGTTGTCCATCCACGCCTGCACATACACACATCTTAGTCTACTCAACTCAATTACCATCACGTTTTAAATTATCGAAATGTGCCGACTCTATTGCCCCATAAGGACAGTTGCCCCATAAGGACAGATACAGATCGATGACATTTTTATGGAACAAATCACAATTTTTCATATTTAATCTTCGTTAACGAGCAAACCAAACAAGGAATAATGTACTTAACATAAAGAAGACAGTGAATTTCAAATCAATACTTATCACATGCTTAAAAAAAAAAAATGAGGTCCTTACCTGATTCTCTTGTTCCAATCTTTCCTCTTCAGAAATTTTCTGAGCAGTAACCGACTTCATATTATTCTTACGCTTTTCATAGAAAGCTGGTGGATTGTTCATTTTGAAAGCTTTCGCTTGTATCGATTCCCTCAGCCTTCGGATTTGTGCAGCAGTTTTTCTGAATGAAGAATAAGTAAACTTGTGAGTGGTATGAACAGAACAGGTTTTTTAAGTAAAATGTAAAGAGAACCTCTTTATTTATTTAAAACCTTAACATGGGCTTGCATGTGCAAAGTGGAAAAAGAGTCAACACTCTTTTTCCACTTTGCGACCCTATAATTACGCCACTATTTAAGGTATTATTTAAAAATAGCTTGAACCTGAACCATAACAAATTATACACCTAGACCTTCTGTAGGAATCATTTTGTTGATAAAAACGGTATAAAAAATCGTCTAGTACTTTGGAGTTTATCGCCTCCACACAGACAGATGCGAAAGTGATTTCTTTATACATTCTGTAAGTATATTTACCTATGAACCTTGAAGAGATGTCTGTAGACACTCCAGGATGTGGAAAAAATTTCCAGGCAGTCAGGGCATGGATACACGAGACGTGTTTCAACATGTTTGTACTTCATATGGAACTTCAAAGTCTTTTGAGTGGAGAACTGCATGTCACCTGAAAAAATAAAAATAAAATTACATAAAATAGTAGAAAGTGACACTTTGTGACCTTCTCCACGAAAGAAGGGCACCATGTTTCATCGGTTATGTTATATAAGATCCATGAGCGTATTGCACAGAACACGATAACAGACCTCAAGCTATTACTGAGATTATTTTACAATTGAAAAATGTTCAATAATACTTTGACCCAGTCGTAAATCAAACCCAAGACCACATAACGTCTATTACTAAAGAAAAAAGTGAGTGAAATATTTGTGTAAATCTAGGTAGATTTAGGGAGTAGATGTAGGGCTAGGTACCCCTTTTGGGGAGCAAAAGGCACGCCTCATTTCACACTTACGCCTTATTTTTTATATTATATTATTACGCCTCATTGCATAAGATCAAGATCTCATATAATGAAAGATAAGATAAGTAAATACTGCAATATTATTATAATAACTCTTTTATAAATATTATGTGTTTAAAAAAAACCTTTTTTGAAGTTGGTTAATTAATATACTAAAACCTCCTAAGTGTAACAAACATTTTTCTGAGAACCGTATGAAAAACAGTTCAGCCAATCGCGAATACAGGTCAAGCTGAGAACCTCCCTCTTTTTTGAAGTCAGTTAAAAATACTTACAGATTTTACATTTAAGTATATTAGTATCATCATAGTTGTCTTCATCATCGCTTATTTGTATGACATTATCAGATTCTTCAGACACTGAACTCTTTACTTTGAAGTTGCCATCGCTTTGCAGGACAGCAATGTCCCTTGACAGGATACTGTCTAGTTCATTGACCTGAAAACAATAATAATAATTATTTATTTATTGAACATCCAACAGTTCATTACAGTTCACGGTAAAACGGGCCTTTACTAAACTATAAAGATAACATGTTATTAATAAATGAAAATGTTACATGCTTAAGTCATCACATCTGCCTATTCAGTGTTTATGTCGAATAAAATAAAACTCCTTTATGTTCAGTGATAAAAATGATGTGGAAGCAGTGTCCTGGATTCTATTTTTTTATGGAATAGGAGGCAAACGAGCGGACGGATCACCTGATGGTAAGCCATCAGCGCCGCCCATGGACACCCGCAACACCGGAGGAGTCACAGGTGCATTGCCGGCCTTTTAAAAAGGAATACGCTCATTTCCTTTTCACAATTTTTCAGATTTAATTTTCTTTAGGGAGCAAACCGAACAAGGAATAATGTACATACATAGAGGAGATGGTGGATTTCAAACTTTTTAAGGTCTATTTTTGTATTTTGGACATAAACTTATTATAATACCTAATATTAATAGTGTTTAGTCTACAAGCAATCATTTATGCATTTTATGATTTCAAATAGTCATTAATATACTATAAGTAACCATAAATAATGATATTTGTTATTACATAACATGAATTATTTTTTTAGTGATGCAGCTAATAAATAATCCAATATCTTAAAAACCAGTTCCTTCATAATGTCTAAAGGAAAATGATTATCTCATTACTTTACTTGGATCTTTTAATATAATACACAATTGTGCCACATTTTCTAGTTACATATTAAACACATACTTGCGCTTTCATATTTTCATTCTGAATATCCTCGGAAGACTGAACACTTTGGAAAACAGCAACAGAACTATTTGGTATCTTTTGCAATGCAATTTCCGGTTCCTCATTATTATTTTGATATACTCCTTTGTTTTTGGCAATTTTTTCCACTATTGCTGTCAAATCCTTAGTTAATGGCACTCTGTCATCTGCATCATCAGTTTCCTTATCATTTTCAACATTCTCCTTCAAAGATGCCTGATACCCTTGCTCCAAATGTTTTATTTTCAACAGTTCAGTATACTGTAATGAGAAAAGACACAATGAATAAAAGAAAGCAATGTAAAATAAAAACATCATTTTATTACATGTTGATATAACTCACCGTTGAAGTAGCATTGATAAAATGGCTATGCAACGAAGAACTAAACTTCTCTTTACAATAAACCCGTTTATGAGATATGAAATTTGCTAAGCTCCTAAATATATTTCGACAAACTTTGCATTCATATAGTAAATCACACTCATTTGATAATAAGTCTTTGAGCTGAAAAAAGAAAATAAAAATTGTTATGTAAGAATGCATATTAATTTGAATAAATGGCATTTATGCATTTATGTATGTAATGCCAATTTTTATTGATCAACTTACTTCTTCAGTAGCCAAGTCAAAAATCTTCCTAGCTTGGCCAAACCCTGTTATACTAGTAGGTATAGGTTTTCTAAGCAAAGCAAAGTCTGTTTCTTCAGTTTCTTCACTACTTTGACCAATACTCTTAGAACTAGCTTTATTCTTATCTTCTTTAGCTTTTGTTTTGGTATTCACCTTGTTACCTGCCATGCTGAACCTAAAATTATAAGTATTTTATACATACACAAATAAATAAATCACATGTAACAAAAATGACATTATAATCGACAGTACTTTAATTAAATATCGTAACACGACAAATTAGTCACTAAACTATAAATTTAAAACACCACGCTATTCATATTGGCACCGTTTTGTATAACGCTGACCAACCATGTTGACAATGAAGTAACAGATAAAGATTTACAGATAGTTATATCAATAATAGTCGCATATACATCTTATATTATTTTACGATGTCAATAATACCTATTTACGAAACGTTATCATGCCTTCTATGTGACTCGGGCATGGTAATATCATATTCCACAGCTACCAAGACATTCGCCGTCTCTCCCTCAAATATACACAATAACATGCGATTAAATGTAGTAAATACATACGCAATTTACATATTAATCAATACAGATTACGATACCACTGTCTAAATAGGTACACTCACGTGGAAATCTTCACAACCGCAAACTTGAAAATCCTAGTCCTGCGACAACTACACCTCCATCACGCCTCCATTTTCAACAAATGAATATCACCTATAGTACGTAACCGAGTTCTCATGGCCATGAGTACAACTATAGCATGTAAAGAAAAATATTACTCTAAAGAGTTTTACTTAAAAATATTATACTGCACAGTTGAATTATCACGAACCCAAAATAGTCATTAGTATTTATCATTCGTAATTTATTAAGTTCACTGATAACAATAATAAAGTAAGTGCATAAAGGATTGATTTAAAAAAAATCCAGGTATTGTATGTGTATCGCTTCCTCTTCCGATATTTAGAATGAGGGCGCCACTAGATATTTGGAAGTGTGTCAATAAATTCATATAACCTAATCACTGTGTGAGTGCGTAGATAATAAATTGAACATTCTTGAAATTAAAGCCATCCCCATTTCTTCTGTAAATATTACAGGGATTCGGTAAAAAGTATTATTTAATCAGTATAATTTCCCTTTTTAGGTACCTCCGTTTATTTTTTAAAAGTCAGGAATATTGACGAATGTCAACGAAGGTAGCTGACAGATTAAATAGGTACATATTTTGACATTGACAGTTTGACATTCTTATGACTTTTGAATTTTGATGTTTGCAATTTGCATTTTGTGAGCCGGTTTGTTAAATTTGACTGAAAAAAAGTGAGCGATACTTATTTATTATGGATTATTCTAATAAAATAAGTTATTTATACTTAATATTCATAAAACCTTGGTTACAGCATTATGGCATCCGGCGAGAATCAGTCATCATCTGATAACCAGCAAAGAAGATGGCATCACATAAGAAAATTATTAGAAAGGTCTGGACCTTTTTGCCATCCAGACTTCGAGCCATCACCGGAGATATTAGATTTTATCATGGATTCATGCAAAGTGCTAATTGTAGGCGCTGGTGGTCTAGGCTGTGAATTACTGAAAGACTTGGCTCTGATGGGATTTAAAAAGCTGCATGTTGTAGATATGGATACTATTGAACTGTCGAACTTGAACAGGCAGTTTCTATTTAGGAAAAATGATATTGGGTTGTCAAAAGCCAAATGTGCTGTTGAGTTTGTTAACAGAAGGTAACACTGTAGCTAATGACTAATAATGAATTGAAAGCAATTTTCTTAAATCCTACTTTTGGTAATCATCTCTTATATTTTACAGAGTACCAGGCTGTGAAGCAGTTGCTCATCATTGTCCCATCCAAGATTTAGATGAAGGATTTTATAGGCAGTTCCATATTGTTGTCTGTGGTCTTGACTCCATTGTTGCTAGACGCTGGCTGAATGGAATGCTGATGTCACTGTTACAATACAATGATGATAGTAATTATTTCTTTTTATTACTCTATTGTTCCAATATTTGTTTATAACATGATTAGCTATACATATTATGCTTTTTACAGGGAGTTTAGATCAAAGCAGTGTAATTCCTTTAGTTGATGGTGGAACTGAAGGATTTAAAGGCAACGCAAGAGTGATCCTGCCAGGCATGAGTGCCTGTATTGAGTGCACTCTTGATCTATATCCTCCTCAGAAGACATTCCCTTTGTGTACTATTGCTAACACTCCAAGGTACTTGCCTACTTAAATCTTATGAAGCTAAAGAGTTTGTTTGTTTGAATGCTCAGGTCCGATTTGAACAATTATTTATTTATCAAGGAAGGATATAGGCTATACAACATCACACAATGATCAATGGCGAACCCACTCAGCTCGATTGAGCAGAGCAAGTGAGACAAAATAGTTATACTTTATCAAACCTAAAAAAAAACTTTTGCAAACAAAATACTGTGGAATCCAAAAGTAATAGAAAAAGAAGAAGAAGAAAAAGATACTGCACGTAATTGCAATTGGACTGCACGGTTGGTGCGGTGGCTGGGCAACCGGCTGCCGTGCAACATGTCGCGGGTTCGATTCCCACACGGAACAACACTTCGTGTGATCCACAAATTGTTGTTTCGGGTCTGGGTGTCATTGTGTATGTGAACTTGTATGTTTGGTAACACACCCACGACACAGGAGAAATTCCTAATGTGGGGCAACTTTTTTTTTTAATACTTTTAATCTTACAGATTACCAGAACATTGCATTGAATATGTGAAAGTGATACAATGGGCAAAAGAAAATCCTTGGGGGAACAACACAGCTCTTGATGGAGATGACCCACAACATGTTGCTTGGGTGTTTGAGAAGGCACAGGACAGGGCTGTCAAGCATGGAATCTCAAATGTGACTTATAGGCTCACACAAGGAGTCCTAAAGAACATCATTCCAGCAGTTGCTAGTACTAATGCTGCTATTGCAGCTTGTTGTGCTACAGAGGTAATTATTTACCATCATAAAATATTGTTTGGATATTTGGTTTTCAATGATTACTTTTTTGGTTTAGTAGTTCTAAATATAAAATATTTAATTTCTTATAGAGTTAGTCATAGTGGGTTTCTCAATGTTAATGGATGCAGTGTATGCAGTGTGGTACATCCGTACATACCTGCATTGTGCAATAGACTCCTCTTGGGAAAATAAAATGAATGATGTTTCAGTTAATAAATAAGTTTAAACATAATTGTATGCCTTTATTCCAGGTTTTCAAGCTAGCCTCTTCATGCTGTACTAACATGAACAACTACATGGTGATGAACATGGCAGATGGTGTTTACACATACACATTCAATGCAGAAAAGAGGCCGGACTGTGTTGCATGCAGCAACTCCACTCGCATTGTAGAAATAGAACCAGATGCAACCTTGCAGATGATCTACGATAAGCTCTGTGAAGATCCTGCCTTTATGATGAAGAGCCCTGGTTAGTTATTTGTCCAATAGAATGTAGTAAATATTATCTGACATTAGGTTCATTAAAATAATTTATTTTCTTGTTATCCAGGTATAACAACAGTGATCAATGGCCGTAACAAAACCTTATACATGTCTTCTATAAAAAGCATTGAAGAAAGAACAAGGGATAATTTGAAGAAGAAAATAACAGATTTGGGCCTATACAATGGTGCTGATATACTAGTAGCTGATGTCACTACCCCAAACACAGTAACAATAAAACTGAAGTTCCTGGAGAATCAGGATGTTGAAATGGCGCGATAAGGGTTTTTTGTCTTCTATTTATGTAGTATTTAAAGAAATAAATTAATGCTTCTTTACATATAAATTACTATTCAATAATACTTTCATTTAAACCTAAATTTCTGACGTGTCGCGGAGAACCTAACGGGTTACCGGGGCTCCGGCTCGACGTGCAGAAGAAGGAACGGGGTGGTTTTTAGTCAGTAATGCCGGAATACTGAAACGTTACTCAATTTTAAGTCATGCTTAAATATCGTGCCATCTCTGTCATTTTACAAAAAAATTGTAGTGACAGAACTATACTTAAGCGCGACTTAAAATTGAGTAGCGTTTGAGTATTCCGACATAAGAGTGACATTCCCTCCCGCCTCACCCAGGCGGGAGCAGTCATTCGATGATTTTCCCCCTTAAAAAAAAACAAACTTCTGTCGTGTCGTGGGTGTGTTAACGAGTAGATACTTAAATAATTTCACCTGAACGCCATGATGCACCTCACACCCACACTCACAACATTTTGTGAATCACAAAGAATTTGTTTATTATTGCGGGAATCGAACCCACGATTTGTTGCACAGCACAGTAGCCACTGGCCATATGTCCTGTGTAGAATATTTTTCCGATAAGACACGTAGTAGCGTTGCTTTCCGACCTCTGAAGCCAAAATAGGAGTCATAATTATGTATTGTACCTGTAATTAAATAAAATCCGTGCTTATAGCTACAAATCTATACTTTGAAAATCAGTAAAAAAAAAATTATGTAAATTTTTGATTGCCTGAGTTTGAAATGCGGGACACAGTTCCTGACTCCATATTATTACTGAAAGTTTTTTAAAAACCCAAAAATAACCAAACAATGCTTTGCCCAAACCGGGTATCGAATACGACAACCCAGACTTCTTGCTCTGCAGTCCTTGGTCATGCGACTCGATCAACCACCCAGTATATTATAAAAAAAAATACTAAAAGGCATCCTATTATATTATTCTACGATTCCATATGGCTAAATGGATATATACAATAAAATAAATAATAGAACTTATCTAAAAATCACGAAATCAATACTACTTTACTCTGTCCTATAAATCATCTGTGGGTTTAATTTAAAAAAATAAACTGTCATTTTTCGTTAAGATAAACGAGAATAACGGCAAGAAAAATTGGCTACCAAATAAATTGTAACACACAGAAACTGATATAAATAACAATACATTTTACTAGTTAAATAATTTATATACCTTATAGAACTAGATTTCGTTATGTATTAGTTTTATCGATATCATATCGATAAGTGAGGCCCACTCTCTAGATATCTGACGTGGTGCTGTCGACAAGACGACAACAGGGAAAGGCGATAACCAAAAAAATAAAATACTTTTTCTGTAGTTGTTAGAAATATTTACAGAAATCAAAATGTTGGACAGCATATTCGATGATGTGAAGCGCATGAACAAACGGCAGGTAACGTTTCATTGAGAATTAGTAAGTTGTACGTGAATAATTCACCGGCTGTTATTTTACGCTTTTTCCAATTATTTTTCAGTTTATCTACCAAGTTTTAAGTTTTGGTATGATAGTTTCTTCGGCTCTCATGATATGGAAGGGCCTCATGGTAGTCACTGGTAGCGAAAGCCCAATAGTTGTCGTGTTGTCAGGCAGTATGGAACCTGCCTTCCACAGAGGGGATTTATTGTTTTTGACAAATTATCCCGAGGAGCCAGTGCGTGTTGGAGAGATTGTAGTATTCAAAGTGGAGGGACGCGACATTCCAATCGTTCACAGAGTTTTAAAGCTTCATGAAAAGTAAGTATTCTTATAGTGCATACCTCCATTTAATTTATTATATATGTTTTAGTTATTGTATGAAAACTTGTTTGTTTACGTCATATCTTGATTAAACGACCAAATTTTCAAATGTTGCACAATTTTACATTTTATTAGAAGAACATGAGATGGCAGGGTAGTCATCATAAAATTATTGATTTAATGAAATGGTAGTGTAACTGTATTTCATAGATATTATAATGACCCACAATTTTATAATAAGAATTGTTTTTAAATGTTTGTAACTAACTATAGACCTCTTTAATTTTCAGGAACAATGGTACAGTGAAGTTCTTAACTAAAGGTGACAACAACAGTGTGGATGATCGAGGCTTGTATGCTCAAGGACAGCTGTGGCTCACTAAAAAGGATGTAGTTGGTCGTGCCAGAGGTTTCTTGCCTTATGTCGGAATGGTCACAATTTATATGAATGAATATCCAAAGTTTAAGGTAACAGTATAATTTTGTTGCTTGTTTATTATGATTGAGTATAAGCTAGGAAAATGTTTAAAGGATTAAACTACATAATTTACAAGTAAACAATCTAATTAGAATCTTATACTCTTCTGGATAAAGCATTGCTGATATTATTTGGAAATGATATTGCAACTACTGAAAATGTAAATTCTAATGGGAATCTTTTATTAGATGTAGAATCTTTGTTAGCACCATTATACAATATTTTTGAGCTTGGAATATTGTGTTCCTGTTTTCCATTATTTTATCTCGTTTGGAAATAGCAATACTTGCTTGTCTTTTCAAGAAATATCGGGTTTTATTACAATGATTGTGCTTGTATTTATAGCACAAGATGTAAGTGTAAGTCAGAAAACTGAAAACTACTCTAGTTGAAAAATAGGGTTTAACAACTGAGTGCTATGTCTTCGACTCTTTATTAGCTAAAGCTAAAGTGGGAAGCCATAAGTGATAAGCTATACAGGAATCCCAGCATCACAGGCCCATTTTATTGGCTTCACAACAGCCATAATATCTGTTGCTTGATATTCATTAAATGACTTCAGTGCCTTGCCAGTTGTCTTTGAGGAAAACTATTGTAAACATATTTGACAACATCACAGGTATATTAGGGTGTGTGGTGTGGAATACAATTTATGAGATATTTGCACAATTCTATAAGGAAAACAGCATGTACAACATTATTTAGTTAACTACTTCAATATAGTGAAAAATACATACAATGGCTGTATTTTCCATAAATACAACCGTTTTTAGGTTTGATGATAGAGTAATACTTTACAGTGGATTATTGTTGTTGAAAATTATTGTTTTTTACTAATGTTATTATTTTGTTTTATTCCAGTTTGCAGTACTAGCGTGCTTAGCAATGTATGTGTTAGTGCACAGGGAGTGACAGCATTAATTTGATCTGAAGTGTTGTTAAGATGGCCGTCTAAAGAGATACAAATGGCTCTGTGGATGTATTTAATTTTATGATTAAATGAAAGTTCTCTCTAGTGTTACTTAATGTAATTGTTTTACTTAAATATATGGTTTTTATTACACTATTTATTGCAATCTGTTTTAGATTATTGAGTGTAGAATAAATAAGACAACCCCTGAACACTGCTTATAATGTAATTAGATAGGCACAAAGTTGTGTAATTTATTTCTATCTTGCAAAAGAAACCCAAAGGTCCGCTCCAACTATTGTGACTGTTTAGCACCGTCAGTCTCACGTTCGAGCGTTACTTGACAAATAATAATAAATTCACCCAATTATTACATAGGACTTGACCTTAACTGGCGAAAAGCAGATGTTGAAGATAGAATATACACATTACAGAATAAGAAATAGTACTAGACAAGGATATCATGAATGTCATAATTTCAAGATAAATGACTTAAATGTGAATTTAAGTACTAAATAGGCACTTGTGTCAGTAGGCGTTACGTTATTAGGCACACAGATGTCTTATCAGATGTAAGTATGTACCTAGTTGAGACTGAAATTATCTACGTACCGTATGCAACTATTTATCAGTAGGTATGTATAAGCAACATTGTTATCTGCATATAGGTAACCAAAGTAAAATTCGTACTTTTGTAGGTATTAATATTTATTTCGTAATTACTACACAGGTAACAACACTTGCAGTGTTTGTAATTTGCAGTAAGTAGGTATATAGAAAAGTATACCTACATAATAAATGTCTAAGTACCTATAAACTAGTATGTAATGTAAGCAAGTAGTTATGCCAGTTATTACGTGTAGTCGCGGAGAACCTAACGGGTAACCGGGGCTCCGGCTCGACGTGCAGGAGAAGGAACGGGGTGGTTTTTAGTCAGTAAGAGTGACACTCCCTCCCGCCTCACCCAGGCGGGAGCAGTCATTCGATGATTTTCCCCCCTTAAAAAAAAACAAAAGTTATTACGTGTGCAGTAGTAGGTGGTATTTTTAATGGAATAGGAGGCAATGGAGCACACGGATCACCTGATGATAAGCGATCGGCAACACCTGCGGAGTCAGGTGCGTTGCAAGCCTTTTAAAAAGGAATACATCCGCTCTTTTCATGAAGTTTTGAAAGAAATTTGAAATCTCGCCGACGAGTTTACACGGGTTCTAGGTATACTGACGGCAGTCAATTGCAAGGAGACTGAAGTTCATCATCATTTACTGACCATCCCACTCCTGCTCCAGCAGGCCACTGGCTTCAAACGATGTTAACCATAACTATTCTGAGTAGGTCACGGACGCCAAGGTCTTGCCGTCTTGGGTTTGAAGAATTCAGTTCGGGGCACGCACCGTTGCACGACGACGAAGGAAGATTATGTGACTAAAAAAGGCTCTGGTTTAAATCCAAAGCATTAATTGGTCTCTTCAGATTTAATATGGTAATTAATAGGCTCATCCCATAATACATGGGTTTCGTTTTGACATAACATGATTGCCATGACTGGTGAACAGTGAGCGTTAACACGTATACCTACTTTTGATTTCGTTTTCGGGAATTAAAACCGTGGTTCTTGGGATAGCATGGTATCAAAATGTATTTTATCCTGTAGATATAAGATATAAGAATTAAGAATGCTTTTACAATGTCCCAATTCGACCTGCGAAGATCAATGTTGCGTTGAATGGATCAGCATTAAGAAGATCACAACAGATTTAAGTGAGTACCTACTTACGTAGTTACTCGGACCATCTTGGAAAAGTTATAAGTACCTAGTTACCCAAGCGTTTTTATTGCCTGGTCATAATGATATAACAACTTATTTTAAGTAGATTTAAGTTATAAGTGGGAATCTGACAAGAAAAATGCGTTGAAGATCATAAGATTGATAGTTTTTTCATCCCGGCCCGACATTTGCTTGAAACTGGTAATGATATGGACCACTGATCTGGTTTAAACCCATCTTGGGATAAAAAAATGCTAAATCATTACTTTGGTATCTCTCTATACTATGTGTGTATGTACAAGTCGATCACTCCTAGACTATTTCAAAGATCGAAGTGAACTAAATCGCGGTTCGCCAATGGGAAAATTTTCTCGACCAAGTCGCAAGTTTGAATTGACGGTTACAGAACCGTAGTATATTTATACTGTGACAGAACAGTATTAAAATATTTCTAAAAAAATATAAAGAAGCATAGCTGCCTAGATAGGTATTTATCTTACTAAGAAGAATTTTATTTATCTGCACGGTTTTTTTTAAGGGCGTAAATCGTCGAATAACTCCTCCCGCCTGGGTGAGGCGGGAGGGAGTGTCAGACTCTTACAGATTAAAAACCACCCCGTTCCTACTCCTGCGCTTCGAGCCAGAGCCCCGGTAACCCGTTAGGTTCTCCACGACTCCGTTTCGGCATCAACCCTATTGGGGCCCATCCGTGGTGGTCTGATGGCTCTTTGAGGCGCGCGCGGAACGCGACGCGCCGCACGCTCGGGTCTGGTTTTGTTTCGCGATCCCCGACGCGTTGTTGTCGTTGGCGCGGTGACTGGGCTACTACCTGCCGCACAACATGTACCCGGTTCGATTCCCACACGGAACAGCTCTTTGTGTGATCCACAAATTGTTGTTTCGGGTCTGGGTGTCATTATGTATGTGAACTTGTATGTTCGTAAATGCACCCACGACACAGGAGGAAATCCTTTTGTGGGGCAACGATTAAAAAAAATAATTTAGGTATGTAGGTAGATGAAGTGGGTAGGTGTAAGGTACCTACTAAGGTGTTTAATCTATTCCTCGTGTCTTGTTTATCGTGTTATTTTTAACAGGGATTGTCAGGAATAAATTTATGGTTTTTTTTATTTTGATTAACGCCTGTACCATCCTAGCTAGCTTGTGGTCAGTATTGGTCGTACTTCTTTGGCTAGCGCTTCGTGGCATATTATACCATAGCCACTCCTTTTTAAAATGTCGCAATGGGTTTGGTACTTCTCTAGTGTTGGCAGTTGGTGTAGTGGGTGGTTGCGGTAATCGCTCAGGTTCATCTGTCTTCTTATTTCCTATCTATTCCATGAAAATGCATTGGATGTGAAACTTGTTTCATCATACATACCGTCACGGCCACGACTCTCCCATGGGGGTAGGCAGAGTCTACGGAACGACGATATTGATTGCTACGATTCTTACATACCTCTTTCGCTTCATCAACAGTCATCAGTCTTTTTATGAATGCTCGTCGGTTAAGACTACTTTTAATTTGGCCCTTCTTTATTATAAATTATACATGTCCGTCTAGGCCGTCCTCTACCGACGGCCCCATTCATATCCGCTCTGTATACTTCTTTCATTACTCTTCTTTCCTCCACCCTTTCTACATGTCCAAACCAGTGTAACATTCCCTTTTCAATCCTGTCACATCATCTTTCTCTAATCTAATAACACTATTTTTATCATACCTACTGTAGATTTATTAATTTACTTAAAATACCTTTATTTGAAGTACCCAAGAGCTTAGGTCAGTAGGTACTTACCTACCAATATAACTTAACCGGAAGGTACAAAAACGTAGAATATCTTGAACAATTTCGTTCTTGAGTCGGTTTCGTTAAGGCTTAGTGCAAACACGTGCGCGCGTTTACGTGGATTCGTCGGGGCGTGTGAAAGTTCTTTGTAAAGAGCACCTTGTCGAATATCCAACCGTCTGCTCTACTTGCATTGCCGGGAAACTAAATTGGATAGATATTTTTAAATGTTTCGGACTTAAAATGTTATACGTAAGCACTTAGATGTATCGGTACCCATGTTCCACGTTATCATGTTACTTCCTGGTGAGTTTTAATCGACATCTACCTCTACTTACAGTAAAATATATACTAACTTATTTTGTATTAATCGACATCGCCGCGACCGCGCACTCTGCTCATGAGGAAGAACCCCTCCGTGGTTCGAAACTAGTAGAGCTTTTCTCAGTATATTTACGTGAGTAATCCGCGATTTTCAGTTAATTTAGTATGTCTCACAATATTATAATTTTTTTTATTGTCCTTAACTAGATATCTACTTAGACCGATAGCGAATGAAATTCTGTTTCCATTCACAATTCGTGTAACATTAACTATTGACCTCCTATTGGCGAGTCCATTGCGCTATTAACTGGATATTAGGACCCAAACATCCAGCCAAATGTTCACGTCGTCAATTTATTATTCATAGACAAATAGCTACTTTTTGTACCAAAACATGATTCACGAAACATTAAATTACAGTATTCAATGGAAATTACAGATAAAACGTAGGCAGGGTAATTTGTAAGTGGGAGATTGGTAATATGAGGAGGCATATAAATAAATATCTACTACTTATAATCACGCAGACTTGAACGGTTTCCGAGTAAAATAACTATAATATCCACTTATTGCTACGTGTTCCTGATTATTTCTGGTTATACTTGCGTTGGTGCGAAAACAATCGATTTGTTATAATGTCAAGGTGATCATCACCGATTAGTCCGATTAGGTACGAACTACTTAAATATACAACTTTGGGTTGCACTGGCCAATAGGGCGAATTAACTAAATACTAATAAAACCTACTAAGTATTATTGTTACCTTGAAATAAATTTCATGTTCTGGAGTAGGTACCTAGTCACGAAACGAGCAAAATTATCGAATCATTAGAAAACTTTACTAAACATCATTTGTCGTGTCGTCATATGAACTTTAAAATTTCCAACACTACATTAAATTCTAAAAACATCTTTAAATACCTATGTGTCGATGGATATTGATCATAGACCGACCACGGACGGGCCATTCATTGAATGATGAAAAATGAGCGGGAACGGCGAGAGCGGGATATCGTGTCTATGTCGAAAATTAAACGAACTTCCGACATTCGCAGATTTGTTCAACATGAACACGTAGGGGTATGTGCGAACTGTAGTCTATAGTCTGTACGATGCGATG